AACGTTTTCTATTCCTTTTTGAAGACTTGCAGTTAATATACAAAGATGCTGTGGGAAAGGTAGATGGATAACAGACTTCCGGAGCTGGAAGTGAAATTAGAGATCATCTAATCCTACCCCCTCATTTTACAAATGGGGATTTGGAGGCAGAAAGTGGTGGCATTTGGCTGACAGTAAGTGGCAGGGAAGACACTGAAACCGTTTCTTCTCTCAGACAGGTGCCATGAAACTTTTTACTGTGACCACCAAGGGCTTCCCTCTGGTAGGTAAGGGGTTGTTTTGGCCTACTCTCTCCCCCCTCTTCTCTAAATCGCACCCTTTCCTTTGGGGGAACTGTTCCATGGGGTTTCAAATCACTGTGCTCATACTAGGGTGGGCACACTATGTGGGCCAGCCAATTCTGGCATCCTCTCTGGCCACAGAACTCAGGTAGGTAGTGGGTATGAGACCCACATGGAAGCAACTGGAGTTATCGTTGTAAGCAGTAATTGGGTATTGTGAGAGGTTTCCTCTCCCCTTGGTGTAACACAAGCAGTGGAGATGTAGGCTTTGGGCTGCCAGGGGCCATTTTCCCCAGCACGTAAAGACAACCTGCCTCAGAAGAAGCCAATACACAGTGCTCAATAAGCTTATCCATTTATCATAACCACATTCCTTGTTTGTGGGAAATGCCAGGTGTCTGCAGACTAATAGGAGGGGGAAGCACAAAATCAGAAAGCAGAATGCGTTTTTTGTTGTAGCAGCAGTTACTTTGGGAACAATGTGGTTTTGTGGAAGAAATGTGCTCACTAGGCTGAGATCTGGATTTGAATCCAGCAGTCGACTGCTTACCAGATGCACCAGGCAACTGGAATGAATAGCTTAGCTCCCTGGGCTGATGTGAGGACTTAGAGAGGAAGCGAAGTACCCAGCTCAAGGAAAGGTGAGGTCCCTTTAGGGTGTCCAAGCAGCACCTCCCAGGAGAGAACTCTTTGTGGACTTGGTTTCTGCCTGTTAAAACTGACTTGTTTTCTCCCGAAGACTCCTTCAGGCAAAAAAAGGGTCAGGAAAGTCATCTTACTTGGAGATACAGCCAGAGGGAAAGGAAGTTATTTTAGGTCACGTTTAGGAGATGGTTGCTTTCCTTCTTTACTACAGAAGTCTGGTTTTTTTGTTTTTTGTTTTTCAGAAGTCTGTTTTGATATTCAATTCCACCACACACATTCTAGTCCTCCTAGAGTGGGGAGTTCCTTTACTGGACAAAGTGCAAGATGAAATGATTTCTCATCATTAACCAAATCATACTTATTGGCCAGCCTTAATGGTTCCCTTGAATTATATATTATACTCACTGCCCTTTTACTTATCAGAAAAAAAAAGGTCTGGAACTTTTCTCTTACCGAATTTGAATCCATTCCGTTCCTATGATAGGTTCCCTACTGGTTCATTTTACATCGCCTATCTGGAAACACACATCTGTTTGGACATGAAGTCTTCCTACTGCACTGCATGAAGCCCTTTACAAATATCTACTGAAGTAAAGAAACCAAGTTAGCAACAATGCTAAAATGCTACTCTCCAGAGCTGGGAAGTATAAATGCCTTTAAAGGTATACAAGAGATAATGGCAGATGTTTGAGACACAAATTTCATTAGGATTTACTTCACACAGACTAAAAATCCAACAAACTCTTGTCTTTTTTTGAAATAGAAACTAGGTTTTCTCTATTTCACAAGGCTTCTGAAGCCATCCCCCCCCCAACCCCATGTTTGCACAGCGTGAACCCACTGATACACAAGAGGTGGTTTTAGAAAGGTTATGGACTTGGAAATTATAAGGCACAGCAATAAAAGCAGGAAGGGTCTACCTGATGAACAATAGCCTTTTAGGTCTATGGAATGTCAGCCAAAAATTGAATTCAAATTCAACAGGGAGTACACCTCCATTAAAATAAAGACCTCAGACATTACTGAGTAATGATGTTTGTACAAAGTCATTCTAGGTGTTTTAGACTAACAACATTAACACTGTTTGCTAAATAAATCAGATCTCTAGAAACATGAATCCAGAATGCAAAAAACATGTACCACAGTTATACCAAAGTCTATTTCTGTGGCACCTGGGTGGCTCAGTTGGTTGGGCTCAGGTTATGATCTCAGGGTTGCGGGATCGACTTAGGCCCCATGTGGGGCTCCCACTCAGCAGGGGAGTCTGCTGGAGATTCTTTCTCTCTCTCCCTCTGCCCCTCCCCCCATGCTCGCTCGCTCTCAAATAAATCTTTTAAAAAAAGGTCTATTTTCTCTTGCTGGATTTTATTAGCTTTTTCAAGATCTACACCAACCACCTTAAAACCCACACATCCCATTCCTCCCCGAGCGGGTAAAAAAGCAAACAGCTGGAAATGAAAGAATGGTACAATTTGACTCCCATGAGGCTTAGATGCATACTGTGCAGCCTGGGCCTCGGGGACTGGTACAGTGACAAAGCACCAATGCTACGGAAATGTAGATGAAACAAGCAGTGTACCAGAAAGAGTGGAAATATAAAGCTAATGTTGATTGCTTTTTCTTTGTAATCTAGTTTGACTGAAAGATTTGGCATATTTATCCATTAAGACCAAAAAGTTAAGATTTTCTGTACATAAACAATCCCTCTTATTGACTGCACAATTTGAGATGCTACATGGGACATCCTCAGCATTTGATGAACACCCACAGATCTGTCAGGGGTTCTATTTGGGAATGCTGCCACCACAGCAGTGGAATAACAAAATAAAGAGGGGCGCATGCACCCTGATGCATGTATGCATACACAAACACGTGGACGCTACTTGCTGAATCTTCACGACAGTTCCCAACGAAGTCTCCACCACAGCAGAAGGGTCAACAGTTGGCTTTGCAGTCACTTTTAGGTGAACCCAAATCTGGCTCAGGAGACAAACGGTTATCAGAGAAGTGTTAACCAGTCACCATCCCTTTTACCTTTTAGGCAGGAGTTAATCAGGGTACATCTGGTTGCCAGGAACTCTACTGTCCTCCAGGATACATGGGAGTTTTCTGAATCCAAAGGAATATATAGGCTCATCGGGCTCTCAATAGTCAAGTATAGAGCAGTTGTTCCCAACCTTTTCCTGCTGCCACACTATCCAAATGCACAACGACTTCCATCAGCTATGTATCCCATTACGTATAAAGATTTTCAAATGGGGCCTAAGAATACATCCATCCCACCCAGCACAAACGGTCATATGAAAAATGGAGAAGAGCAGATGCAATATAAAAAATCACCTCCCAGAGATCTGATACATCTCCTGGCTGACACCCAGCCCCACCTACCAGGTTCCCTCACACCCCTTTCCTTGTTTAAAATTAAGTAGGTTAAAGAAATAAAACGCACCCAATGTAAGGGCAAAACTGAACAAATTTGGGATGCAGAAGAATGACTCGTCACTATGCATGAAGTAATGGCAAGGATACAGCTGTGACTTTCCCAGACTAAACAGATCCACCGCATCTTTGTGTAATAACTTTATACAGAGGTGCCTGAATTGTGCGGGTATACAATGCAATGTCTTTGGAGGTGAAAACGTTAAAAACAGGCTCATTTACAAAATTAAGTTGGAATTTTTTTCTCTAATTTTATAAAAAAAAACTTTTTGAAAGTTGTTCTGCTTTTCTTCAAGAAAACAAACTATGCTCTTTCCATAATCTCTTGTTATCTTCATACTTCAGAGACAACACAGTATTTTGGGTTCAGCTCCTCTTACCACCATCCATTTATGTGGAACTTTTCCAAGGTTATAAGTCTTGTGGAAAAATGTCTGCACAGTAGGGGAAAAAATATCACAATGCTGTACTGAAAAAGGAGGATAATGGCTGCTCAGATGTCAGTGACACACTGTTTTTTTTACACTCATACTCGTAAAATCTTTGGGGTTGGCCAGGGCTCTACTGCTACCTACTCTTGTTTCTCCTCTTTTGGGAATTTGTTTTTTCATAAAATGCTGCCAACTATGCCACTATCATATCAGAGTAAACATAAAACAGACCCTAACTATAAGGACAACAGATGAAAAAAATTGCTAGAGGCCAGCCTGCTGTTCCGATGGGGTCTTGGGCTGACCCCACAGTTGAGAGTCAGATCCCAAAGGTCAAGCACTCACTTGCCACTCACTTCAGTGAGTCACAGAACTAAGGCGACTACACTCCCAGGCGACTGAAGGCAGGGCGCTGAGAGATCACCCCAGTCCTGAGGTTCCAATGTTCACACACGCTATCAAGGTCCTCCTTTTTTTGGTTATAAAACTATTCTGAGCTAAACACCGAGGGATTAATTTTTAAAAGAGGGGTTTTATTTGGCAAGTAGGGAATCCCAGCAAAAGAAAATGAGAGGTTCTGGGAACCTACTTCACTCAGGATGTACAAAGCCTGACGAACTACTCTTACTACTCTTACTGGAACTACTCTAACTCTTTGAAACAGCAACTCCACAGTAGTTACAGTGTGTATTTTCTCAGTTTCCAACCTACTTATGTGAAATTACATAATGTAACAATGAAGAATTATTAGTATCTAATTCTCAAGATTCTATGGGGACCATTATCTTTTGTTTACCACTGTTTGTTGTTCTTTTTTTTTTTTTTTAAAGATTTTACTTATTCGACAGAGAGACACAGTGAGAAAGGGAACACAAGCCGGGGGAGTGGGAGAGGGAGAAGCAGGCTCCCCGCAGAGCAGGGAGCCTGATACGGGGCTCGATCTCAGGACCCTGGGATCATAACCTGAGCCGAAGGCAGACGCTTATCGACTGAGCCACCCAGGCGCCCCACCACACTGTTTGTTCTTAAGACAAATTATAATAAAATCACTTAACAGAAAAACTGGCTGAAAAATGTCTGCCTTAGAGTTAGAAATTAAAGTTTTCCTTCTAAATTTAAACCTCAGAGCTCTCAGTGACTTTTAAAAAGTGGATGAACAAATTTCTAAATATAAACTGGAGATAATTCAATCTTAAAACTGAAATGGAATATTGAAAACATTTATTAATACAAAAAAGTCAATGCATTCCACAGAATGAAAATGCTCAGTCTTTTCCAACAGATATTTAAAGCTAGTGATCCCACTCTTCATTAATCTTTCCTAAAATCTATGTAGCAACCTCTAGATTTAGTTATTTGTTCAGGACCTGAGTGAAGCCAAAGACACAAAAAATAGGGATTAAACCAAACTCTGAGCAGCTGTTTAAAAAAAAAAAGACTATATACACATAAAATAGGATTACACACTTTAATGTGATTGACACAGAGGAAGTAGGGAGGACCCGAAAGAAACTTAGTTTTAGCTCCGCTTTATGCATAACCAGATGCTCTTTTTCCAAAAAGTATACTGAGGTTTTAAAAAACACATTTTATCAGAATACTTCAGGAAAACACACTATGTGTAATCCAGGAAATACACTATTTGCAGAATAGGAAAATCATCATGGGCAATAAAAGATTAAAATAAAAGAAAGCACCTGGGTTTTGAGCAGTTCTAAGGTGAGTATATCTGCAGAAATAGTGTAAATGCTCTTGACTGGCTGTTAATGGAAACATGCTAATGAGGATTGGTCCATATCTTAACATTTTTAAAAATATGTTTCTTTGGAAAAATGGCAATATGGGCTGGGAGTAAAGATGTCCTTTTAGACACCCAGCTTATTGGCTTGGGTGAGAACGACTTTGAGAACTGGCATGAAAGCTGAGGTCTCACTGAAGTTGCTGGTGCTAACTATGTGGGTGTGGATGGTCAATCCTTCTGAGTAGTTTCGCGATTCAATGCTCCTTGCAATGTTGTGTAAACCACTGATGATTGTGGGTGAAAGCTGAAATAAAGGTAGAATCAAGAGAAAAAAATTAAATTAAGGAAGAATTTCCCATAAACCCTGATATTTAAAAGGAGACTGAAACAAATATTATAAAAAAGCAAATAAACCATTTAGCTTTTCTAAAAAGAGTTTTTTGGACCAAGCAACTCTTTAAGTTATAAAGGAGAACCACGACAAGATGATTAATGTAAGGAGATTATTATGAATTATGAAAATGTATGAGTCAGTTAATTTTTTTATAGAAGCCAGCTTTCCTCCCCCAAGTTGAAATGCTAACGTCTTTCTCCACTTAAGAGCGTTAATTCTTCAAATATTTTAGATATAGCCTCACACCTTTTAAAACTTTTCCCATGCACATGAAGGAATTTAAAGGTTCTTAATCATTTTATCTCAACGTAAGGACCCAATGTACTGTAAAACCATGTCTACAGTACAGACCCTAAACTTGCGGTCCACTTGTGTTCATAGGGCAGCAGCTACCATGTACTCAATTTATCAATTCTTCACTGCTTTTTGTAATCTTACCATCTCTTAAAACCGTAACATCTTGTTTTTATCCCATGTCATTACTTGGATTATATGCCTATACTTCTGAGGGAAGAATTTATTTTGGATCAGTCCATGGACCACACCACTTCCACTGTTACATCAAATTTCTTTGGTTCTCATGACATGAGTGGTTATTTTTATCTGATGGGATTGATGTGAGGAATGGAGAAGAGGAATGTTAAAATGCAGAAAATATAGCCACATATAAAACGAACAGAAGGCCAGTTACCTTAGGGCCAATACAAAGCAGATTATATTTCTACTCTTTGTTATAAGAAAAGTTAAAATTGCACCCCTATCTCACAAACACACACCCTCTCTCCTATTCCCTCATCCCCAAATTTAAATGACATATAAAATTCAGTTAGAGAAAGCCCATTCTATCACTGTCATCACAATTTTGCCCCCAAATATATTACATGCTAGTGCTGATGAGATGTTTACTAGAAACTAGGAATGATTATTATGAATCCTTTTTCCCCACAAACTTACTGTCTGTTCCCTAAGTTTATCATACAGAAACTCCAAGCGTTTGCTGGCGTCATCTAGCTTCCTCTTGGTTTGCTGTAGGAGAAGAAAAACAGATGTGTTACATTTGGATACTTAACTTTTATCCAAAGACCTTGCCCTATCTCATTTCACTAACCCTTACACCCCTGATGCTGAACAGCTTCATTTTATAAGGAAATGGAGGCAACTATGACTCAGAAACTTGAACAGACCATTAGGACAGAGTTCAGTAACCTATTAATGGGGAAGCGTAGGAGGATAAGGGGCTTCCTTCTGGAGTGCAAACTGGAGTAGTGGTTGGATTTCACATGAACTGTCAGCTCATTTGACAAGGTGTGTTCATGTATAACTGCACTATCCACAAGCAACAGGAAGGGCCATCTGGAGGCAGCAGTGGGTCACTGTATTACAGGAAAGAGGATCTAAGGACAGCTATTTACAACAGCAGCAAACACAGAAGTGAACTGGAATCTTACTGTAACCTTTCAAAAATATTACTTATATACTCAGTCACATTAATATGTTTAATCCTGCTTCTGAGCTTTCTTTTTTCTTTTTTCTTTTTTTAAGTAGGATCCATGCCCAGCTGTGGAGTCCAGTGTGGGGCTTGAACTCATGACCCCCGAGATCAAGACCTGAGCTGAGATCAAAAGTTGGATGCTTAACTGATGGAGCAACCCAGGTGCCCCTTTTTCTGAGCTTTTAAAACACCAAGAAGGAAAAAAAAGAAAATTACCTTCTGGTGGCTTAAGATTACTAAAAAGGAAGTAGTAAAATGAGTTCTTAAATCAAGGAGTCCTCCCACCTCCCAATCCTCGTTCTAGAAATATAGTGAGAGAAAACTATTCTAAAACTAAAATTAAAGGCTTCAATTACAATGTAATTAAGCTAATAATGTACATTATGCAACAGCTTTAGAAGTGACACTGTTTTTCAGTATTTATTGAGTGCCTACTATGTGCCATGCTCATGTCTCAGGGACCTCAAATTCTACTGGGTGGGAAAAAGATACTAAATAAACAGTATGTTGTAGATGAGATGGTGATGAATGCCATGAGGAAAGAGTTAACAGAGTGAGGGGCTAGAAGTTTAGGAGTATGAGGTGTTAAAGAAAGGCTGGGTAGCTACTGGGACATTTGAAAAGCCTGGAAAAAGGGTGGAGTAATGCAGTTATGTGGGGGAAGATTCCAGGCAGAAGGAGCAGCAAGTACAAAGCTGTTGATGCTGACATGCTCTTGGTATGTTGGAGGAAGGAATGTCAATCTATCAAAAGAGAAAGGAAAAGCTCTGAATATTTCCCCACAGAGATGATGTTAGCTATGGGTTTTTCATATACGGCTTTTATTATGTTGAAGTATGTTCCCTCTACACCTACTTTGTTGAAGGTTTTTATCAGGAATGGATTTTGTACTTTGTCAAATGCTTTTTCTGCATCTATTGAAATGACCATGTAGGTTTTTATCCTTTCTCTGCCAGATGTGATGCATCACTTTGATTGGTCTGTGAATATTCACAAATTTGTGTGTCATCCTTGTGCAGGGACCATGCTAATCTTCTCTATATTGGTCCAATTTCAGTATATGTGCTGCTGAAGTAAGCAATGATTGATCTATGAATACTGAACCAGCCTTGCATCCCGGGAATAAATCCCACTTGACTGTGGTGAATAATTTTTTTGTTTGTTGGTAAATGATTTTTTTTTTTTTTTTAAGATTTTATTTATTTATTTGACAGAGAGAGAGAGAGAGACAGCGAGAGAGGGAACACAAGCAGGGGGAGTGGGAGAAGGAGAAGCAGGCTTCCCGCCGAGCAGAGAGCCCAATGCGGGGCTCGATCCCCAGACCCTGGGATCATGACCTGAGCCAAAGGCAGATGCTTAATGACTGAGCCACCCAGGCGCCCCAGTGAATGATTTTCTTTTAAAGACTTATTTATTTGAGAGAGAGAGAGAGAGAGCACAAGAGCACGTGAGTGGGGGGAGGGGCAGACAGAAAGGGAGAGAGAATCTCAAGCAGACTCTGCACTGAGCACAGAGAGTGATGTGGGACTTGATCTCATGACCCCAAGATCATGACCTGAGATGAAACCAAGAGTCAGAAGCTCAACTGACTGAGCTACCCAGGTGCTCCTGTGAATGATTTTTTTAATGTATCAACATACCAATAGCATTTTTCATAGAACTAGAACAAATAATCCTATAATTTGTATGGAACCATAAAAGACCCCAAATAGCCAGAGCAATCTTGAAAAAGAACAGCAAAGCTGAAGGTGTCACAATTCTGTACTTCAAGTTATATTACAAAGCTGTAGTAATCAAGACAGTATGATACTGGCACAAAAACAGACACATAGATCAATGAAACAGAATAGAAAATCCAGAAATAAACTCACAATTATATGGTCAAATAATCTTCGACAAAGGAGGCAAGAATACCCAACGGGAAAAAGACAGTCTTTTTAACAAATGGTGTTAGGAAAACTGGACAGCTACATGCAAAAGAATGAAACTGGACCACTTTCTCACACTATACACAAAAATAAACTCAAAATGGATTAAAGACCTAAATAAATATAAGACAGGAAACCATAAAAATCCTAGAAGAGAACACAGGCAGTAATTTCTCTGACATCAGCCATAGCGACATTTTTCTAGATATGTCTCCTCAAAGGAAATAAAAAGCAAAAATAAACTACTGGGACTACATCAGAATAAAAAGCTTCTGCACAGCAAAGGAAACAATAAACAAAACTGAAAGGCAATGTACTGAATGGGAGAAGATATTTGCAAATGACATATCCAGTAAAGGGTTAGTATCTAAAATATATAAAGAACTGATATAACTCAACACCCCCCCCCAAAATAATCCAATTAAAAAATGGGCAGAAGACATGAATGACATTTCTCCAAAGAAGACATACATGTGGTCAGTAGACAAATGAAAAGATGCTCAATATCACTCATCATCAGGGAAATACAAGTTAAAACTACAATGAAATATCATCTCACATCTGTCAGAATGGTTAAAATCAACAACACAAGAAACAACACAGTGTTGGTGATGATGTACAGAAAGGGGAACCCTCTTGCACTATTAGTAGGAATGCAAACTGGTGTAGCCACTCTGGAAAACAGTATAGAGGTTCCTCAAAAAGTTAAAAATAGAACTACCCTATGATCCAGCAAGTGTACTACTATTTACCCCCATAATATAAAAACACTAATTCAAAGGGATACATATACCCCTATGTTTATTGCAGCATTATTTACAATAGCCAAACTATGGAAGCAACCCAGTGTCCACTGATAGATGAATAGATAAAGAAGATGTGGTATATATACACAACAGAATATCATTCAGTCATAAAAAGAATGAAATCTTGCCATTTGCAACAACATGGATGGAGCTAGAGAGTATAATGCTAAATACATAAGTCATTCAGAGAAAGACAAATATATGATTTCACTCACATTTGGAATTTAAGAAACAGAATAAACTACCAAAGGAAAAAAAGAGAGAGACAAACTAAGGAACAGACTCTAAACTACAGAGAAGAATATGATGGTACCCAGAAGGCAGGTGGGTGGAAGGATGGGTGAAATAGGTGATGGGAATTAATGAGTGCGCTTATCATGGGAGCACTCAGTACTGTACAAAATTGTTGAAGCACTGTATTATATACCTGTAATGAATTAAAAAAAAAAAAAAGAAGAAGAGAGACAAAGAGATGAAGATATCAAGCATAACATTACAAACTAAGTCATGCTGCAAAATTACCTTGTGTTGTCTGGACATAACTTAAGTGAAAATACGTATTACAGCAATATTGTAAAAATGATTCCAGCTATTGATGAAAAGGATTTGTGTGGAAGAGAACCCTGATAGTCCCTGCTCAAAGTTAATCTCATCTAGCTACCGGCAGGAGCACTACCCCAGGGGCAGAGTCAGTTGGGCAGGATAGGATATTAGGACTTTCCCCCCTAACTGGTTACAGGAATTACAGGAACAGTTTGTCTTTTGTGGTTCTCTTCTGCCCAGGGCTCCTGTGGACCCAGAAGGAAGATGATATGTTGACCTAGAGGAGTTTAAACTCAACAAAAATTTATTGAGCTGGGCTGTGTACTACATGTCTTCTCAACCTCTCTATACTGACTCATGCCTGAAGGAGAGCTGGAGTTTTCCTTCATTTTTATTAGGACTCTTCTATTTTTGAATGACTGTGTCCTATTTAGAGGTGTTCACAGGGGACAGTGTATGCTAGGCTATCTGCTTCATCTGCTCTCTGTTCCTCACTCAGTGTTTCCATCACTTCCAGAATGCTAGGCACGATGCTAACCTTTCCCTGCCTCTGCTTTCCTGACACATTTAGTACAGGGAATAGCCTTCTAAAGGACCAGAAGAAAGCTGCACATATTAATACTCAATGTTTGATGAAACAACAAATTCCAGAAGCTGTTTTTCAAGCAGACAAGTGGCCAGTGGCTAAATAAACATATTCAATGTTTACTGGCAGAAACTGAGATTTCATCTAAAACAAGACCAGCCTTGTTGGATTTTTGTTGTTGCCAATACATAGGCATCCTCTAAATAAACTAAGTAAAATCAGTTGCTTTAACTATGAATAGGACTCTAGACTCTAAAACAATTATTTTTAAGATCTTTGCAAAGTTACATATAAGATTATCTACTTTTAAAAGCTTTGATCTAAGCTCAGAAAGAAAGCCCAAACCTGAATTTCTTACATACCACCATTCTGTTCTATTTATGGGCCAAACCCGAGGTTTGCTACTGAGGGGCAGTGCAGCATAGTGAGTGAGAGCATACATTCTGGACCTAAGCTGGGTCTGAATTCTGGCTCTGACCTTGGGTGTTACTTAACAGCTTTTTGCTTACTTTAGTTGTCTGTAAAATAAAGATGACAAATTTACCTACCATGGGGTTGCTGTGAGGATTAAATATTTACATATAAAAGAAATTAAATACATTTTTATACGTAAAGCAAACTACTTAAGTGCTAGTTTTATTACTATTGTACAAACGTCTAAAGTATATCTTGTAAGACTTCATGCAATTACACAAGAGCTCCATAAGTGATTATTTTAAATAAGCAAAATATGAGAAAAAAATACATACAGGATCTGTGGCTGAAGAGAGGCAGCGCTGAATAAGATCCTCAAATGTGGTCTTTAGAATGAGGTGCTCATCTGGAATAGGTTTCTTGGTAATTTTTTCTGTTGGCAAAGACTGCACATGCTGGAAGAAATAATACCATAAAATGACCAGAAACGACCAGAAACTATACACAAAGCCCTGAAACTCTGTGATAAAGAGAAACCAACTAACTACCTTGTAGATAGGCTGTTAAAATCAAATGACAAATTAACATGTGAAATCCCTTGGGGATAAGTAAAAATGAAAATCAGATATTCAGTAGAAGGTACAGGCTTCTACATCTTTGATTTTCAAAAACAGAACTGGATATAAAGAATTTGGTCAATTATGGAACATATGTTGGTTACTACTATATGTATCTGGTGGGAAGTAGACAACAGACCTACCATGCCAGTAGGAAATAAAAAGAACAAGGCATTTACAAAGCTGGCTAGTTAGAGTGGCTGCTTGCTCTGCTGTTGGCTCATTTGTTTATCTTGGCATTCTTCTGTTCTTTGGTTTACTCTTGAAGGTTGGTAACTGGTCTATCATCAAACTGCAAGATTTTTTTTTTTTAAGATTTTATTTATTTATTTGAGAGAGAGAGAGAGCGTGAGAGAGAGCACAAGTAGGGGGAGGGGCAGAGGCAGAGGGAGAAGCAGGGTCTCCACTGAACAGGGAGCCCAATGTGGGGTTCAATCCCAGGACCCTGGGATCTGACCTGAGCCAAAGGCAGCCGCTTAACTGAGCCAGCCAGGTGTCCCCAAACTGCCAAGATTAAGTCAAAAGCTGGGACATAAGAGACCATAATGTTACTGAATGTACAGATGGAAAGACAAGGAATTTTTTTTTTTTTTAAAGATTTTATTTATTTATTCATGACAGAGAGAGAGAGAGAGAGAGAGAGGCAGAAGGAGAAGCAGGCTCCCAAGGAGCAGGGAGCCCGATGCGGGACTCGATCCCGGGACCCTGGGATCATGACCTGAGCCGAAGGCAGACGCTCAACCATCTGAGCCACCCAGGCGCCCGGAATGTTTGTTTTTAAAGTTCTGATTTATTAGTTCATTCATTCAAAAATATTAGGCAATTATGTGCCAGGCACTGTGTATTTGTGAGCCAATTGAGAAATGATCTCAACTCTCTGGCAATTTATTAGGCTAAAAGAAGAAAAAGAAAGTTTTAAAGTGTCATAAAAAAAAGTTTACATTTACTGTCTTAATGAAAGATGTTACTTGAAAAAAAAGTAAAAAAATAAAATGCCATCAATACATGTTAAGATAGCAACTGTATTGCTATTTAATTGCTAATAAGTTAACAGTAATGGAACCAACAGATAATATAACTAGAATTTAACTGAGGGGAAAGCTCTCTCCAGGAAATTATATCAGAAGGACAAGTAGGAGTTAACTAGTTAAATGAGAAAGGAAAAGCATTCTGGGTAGAGGAACATGTACAAAGGAAGGATCATGATTCAGGGGACTAAAAGGAGGCCAGTGTAGCTGGAGCAGAGAGACAGCAAGGAGGAGTATGAAGCTGAGGGCTTCCAGACAATGTTAAATATTTTGGTCTTTATCCTCAGAGCAATGCTTTAAACAAAGAGGAGACAAGAGCAGATAGATGGATCAAAGGCAGACCAATTAGAGGATCCTGCACTGCTGAAAATTGGGGATGAAGGCAGCATAGATTAGACTGGAAGTGTAGACCAGGGATTTGAGAGAGATTTTAAAATAGTATCAACAAGATTTAGGGATAGATTTGAAAGTGGGATTAAAGGAAAAGAGTATAAAGATGATTCTCAGGTTTTCGGCTAGATTAAATAGGAAGGATTATGGTGCCATTCACTGAAACAGGAAACACCAAGTTTTTGAAGGCCAGGTTTGGGAGGGGTATAAGGTATAAGGGGTATAAGGCTTCAGAAATGTTGAGTGTGAGGTGCCTCGGAGACATCGAGGTAGGCAGGTGGCTGGATGTAATGGCCTGGCTGAACACATACATCTTGTGCAGCATTCCCTTCCGATGGTAACTGAGGTTCTGGTCTAGATGAGTAAAGCATGAACACCCCAGGTCTAAACAAAAGTGAATGGCTGGGTAGCTTCCCAAACTAGCATAGACTTGTAATCATAAAAAAAAATTAACAATGATCTTTATAATTTATAGTCCTGTGGAAAAAAAGTCAGTTCTCCCACCTCCATCAAAACACTGGTTTTTATAATTTAGAAGTTCCTTAGGTAGAACTCTCTCTTAATAGTAAAGCATACCCTTGTGATAGAGATACATCTTTATAAATTTGACTTTAATGAATCAAAGACAAAACCAGAACTAGTTTTATACTTTGTGCAGGGATTTGTTTCATCTTATGTTAACTTTGACCCAAGCTCTTCACTTTTCATGAACAGATCAAAATGTTTATCTTTGTATGTCTAAGTCAGTTATATGTGATTTTTTTTATCATCTAGAACCCTGCCAACCAGCTGTATGTGAAAAGCAAGTACAAAGTTATATCTCCATCTGAAGGTATGCTGTATATTATTAGCTCTTACACATACACAAGAAAAGATGTAACTCATTACATTTTTATTTTATATTTTAAAGGGAAAAACCTTTGGAAATAGCTTCTGCTTAGCAAGCCTGGCTGAAAATATGGATTCAACTGATCTAAAATTATGGCTACGGGTTAGGTCAAATGAAATACTGCAATTGTCAAGTTAGTGTAAACACACACTAGCAAATATATGAGCCTCTTCTAGAAAGTTTACGGCCATGTAATTGAAAAATATCTACGCATGATCAATCTTAAAAAAAGGGTTACTATTATTTATTTAGGTTGTCTTAATTGAAACCAAATTTAGATGTTCATTAATAAAGGTGTAAACATCAAAGTTAACACATTAAAAAAATGAACTGAAACAGAGCCATCTCCCCATTCCACTTATGCAGATTTACTGTTACCTGGATGGTATTTCCAATAGGAGCCCCTGGGGCGCCTTCAATATTGGGCTTGGAGAAAGATGGTGGCATGCCTGGTTGACCGAGGGGTTGTTGTATGCCATGGAAGGTCTGGCCACCTGCAAGATGTGGCTGTGGAAATGAAGCTTGGCTTGACAGAGGTAGGGGAGCTGAAGGCTGTTGCGGCAGCATCTGTGACTGGGGGTCACCCAAAGGGTTCATAATTGGTGATGTGATGGGAACAGGAGGCATAAAGTTTTCAGGCATCTTTTAAAAGACAGAAATAAAAGACACCAAGCGTAAGAAAAAGGGTATCATTTACTCACCTTTAAATAAGGTTAACATTTAAAAAAATAGAATACTTTTTTCAAATGAAATTTTATGCAGAATTCTAGAGTAAAACATAAAAGTAGAGCTAATCTGGCTAAGAGGGATAGAGAGCTCAAAACTGGACCTCTCAGTTTCCCCTTTGTCTTCCATACTTCCTCTCATATGGGGAGCCAAAACATGGTGTTTTGAAAGAGGATGTTAAAGTCTAGAGGATTGGGGCGCCTGGGTGGTTCAGTTGGTTAAGCGACTGCCTTCGGCTCAGGTCATGATCCTGGAGTCCTGGGATCGAGTCCCGCATCAGGCTCCCTGCTCAGCAAGGAACCTGCTTCTCCCTCTGACCCTCCCCCCTCTCATGTGCTCTCTCTCTCTCGTTCTCTCTGTCTCAAATAAATAAATAAATAAATAATCTAAAAAAAAAAAAAAAAGTCTAGAGGATTATATCTAGCCATAGTGGAATCAGATATGCCAAATGTGTGTTTGTATTTAATGTGATCACGATGTAATACTCCTCTTCCTAGATTACTAAGTGGATATTACCTGTCAATTCAATCATATTAAAAGTAGTGGATTAAATTTCTAATTATTACTAACGTAAATTTTGGGGTTTTTTGACCATTTAGTGCTCCCAATTTTATTGTTATGACCTCACATTACTATACTTAAGGAAAGGAAATCACCAGAAGTTAAAAAAAAAAAAAGCAGAAATGTTTGGGAAGGAAGAAGGAGAGAAGAATCTTATCTTGTGCTCCAACAGCTCTCAACAGTTACTGACAGTTAAACAGTGCTCAGCTATAAGGTTATTTCTTCATTCACACTATATGTGATAGATAAAATAGTTCAAAATATAATTACCAAATTCATGACTACTGTTGGAAACAAAAGATCAAAGTAAACCCAAAAAGAAAAAAATCATTGAAAAATTTTGTTTCCTACTCTTTGAAAGAGACCTGTTGGGAATTCACATCTTGTCTTCTAATGGGAATTAAATTCACACCACCATATTGTTGTGTTTTTGTTTTTTTTTTTTAAACTTTCTTTCCTTCCCTTCATGGAATAGAAGATATAAGCTGAAATACACTTTAAACCTATCAGTCAGTAAGCTTTGCTTTTAAAAGGATCAGTGAAGGATGGTGTGTTCCAGGTGGCTTTGTGATTAGTAGAACATCTGCAGGCAACTGGATGGACATCTTTTTCTAGTACCTTCTTCTTAGGTACTCTGTTCAAAGCTGGAGGATCATTCCATCCATTCTGAGGACCTATAACAGATAATAAAGGGCATTTTCCTTTAGAATTCTGAAAAGAAGAAAACTCAATTGTATCCATCTTATAATACCTTCAAATTCTGCCTTAACCCCGAGGATAACTCACAAAAGTTTTACCAGCTGAGCTTTGGGGATCACTCTGAAGCCCTGGATTCTCAAACTCATTCCCTCAAACATTCACAAGGCCTTGGCTTACCAGGCAAGATAACTTGATATTATTTCCATTTAAAGTGAAAGAGCTGTACTAAATTTAGAGATAGTGAAGTCTTTATGTCGTATAACCTTCAAAGATCAGTTAGAAATTCTCTCTTAATAAAGAAAAAATAAATCATCTCAGTCTGCTAAAAAATAAAAAAATAAAAAATAAAAAAACCTACTTTTGCTATATTCAGCATATAAAAAAGAATAAAAGTGACAATCTCCTATTTCCCAAGAGAGCAATATAAGCAATTCAACATAAGCAAAATCATCCATATGGCAGAAACACTGTTAAAAAAAGGTCTCAACTACACAATACTGCAATTTCATCATCTTTGCCTTAGGAATTATTTATAAAGTAGAAAGCATTTAAGTATCTGTGATAAGATTTTTTTAATGCCACACACAAAAAAATTTCAGGTTGGCAGCAAATAGAAAATTAAATTACTGTCAACTTTAGTAAATTTCCCCTAAAAACCCCCCAAAACCCTTCATCTCAAAGTGAAAAACAGACATCAGTAGTAGAATTCATTAAGTACTTGAATGCCAGTATCTTTAAAGAAAACATGCCAGAAATAAAGACAGGATAATTTAAAAATCAAAATGTAATCATTTTATATTTCATTGATTTTTGTGTATGTTTATAGTTAAAGCAAAAAAATTACTCCTCTTTCAACAAATCAGACATTCCTTCAGAATTTTACCTTTTACTTGTTTTATTGATATCCATGACATTAAATCACAACAAAATTGCTTAGCAGACCATGATGTATGTGATCCATACAAAATGCCACAGAAATTTTTTAAAAAACTAAATCTTCCAACCAGCATGTACTCATTTGCCTTGATTTTTTTTAAGTTTACTTACTTAATTTTTTTTAGTAATCTCTATACCCAACATGTGGCTCAAACTCACGACCCTGAGAGCAAGAGTCATGTGTCCTTCTGAGCCAGCCAGGTATCCTTCATTTGCCTTGATTTTTAATTTTCTACAGGTTTACTAAGAAACAATGCCAAATGAGCCTCAAAACACTCAAGAGCTAATCACAAAATATTAAGCTACATGCTGCTATCTGTTTAACAAATTCTCAAAGTTCTGATCATACATAGAGAATCATTCAAATCTCTCTCATCACCTTCTAATCTTACTCCTAAGACAATCTTGATATAGTCATTGTCTTTATGATTATGTAAAATAGACAACTTTAATGATTTAAAGCTACTGTGTCACCATGTTAATTCAATCAGTTCTAAGATTTGATTTGATTAAGAAGTCAAATTAAAAAATGATACTGATCAGATTTAGAATATCATCAACTTTGAGGTTCACATGCATTATTGTGAATGGTCATTCATTAACTATATTCAATGATTGAAAAATTTCCAAAGATATATTTTATAACCAATTCACCTTCCAACATAGGTGCCTGGTCTTGCATAGATTGATTTTCTGTAGACAAAATGTAAAAGTCACTTAAACAGCATTAGCATGAAAAACATTCTAAACTCTATTTCTCATTTTGTAATTGCTTCTTCTCCCTCCATCAACCCAAAAAGGAACAAACTAATTTTATAAGGGAAAAAAAAAACTTCCTTTTAATCAAGTCATGTGAAATGTCTTCTATCTAATTAAGAAAATAATCATTTTGGGGTAAATCAAATTCATTTAGGTTGTGTCAGATCCAATTAACTCTTAAACATCACTTTCTTCTCTTACTGTGCTGTTTCTTCTAAGAAAAAATTTTGTTCCTGCCTATTTAAAATAATATTTCCCTGTTTGCATGGATTTTTTTTTCCCACTATTTGATCAATAACATCACTGGTGGGGGGAGCATTTAGCACTAGTTAAAGCTGTCAACCAAAATCAGCTGAGGATCTTGTTAAAATGCATATTCTAATTCACTGTGTATAGGGTAGGGCCTGAGATTCTATTGTTCCAGCTAGCTCCCAAGTAATGCCAATGCTGCTTGCTGGTCAAAGCCCTCTTTTAGTAGGGATTTAAAGAAAAATGGGAGGCCTTCTACACTGTCCTGTAGACTTCAGTGCTGTACTTGTTAAAGATAAGAATGTCAGACAATCTTAGCAACGTGGTGCCACTTTACTGCCAGATTTGGGAGGCTGCATCCTGATGAAACTGTAATTTCATGTAATTCATGTCACACCATGAATATAAGCATAAATGACAACAGGCCCAGTAAATAAGGAACCATCTTATATGGTCTTTTCTGTAAAAATATATGGATTTGCAGACTGTTTAGCACAAGCCTTCCAGAAACCACTACTTAAGAGAACGGAAGTTTCTGGCAGTGGACAAGAGGAAAAAAGGCTGAAAACTAACACAGCAATGCCAAAATGATCAGATATTCAGGGTCAGGCCAGGCCCAGCCTCAAATCAAAAGTATGCAGTGGAGGTATATTATATGCACATGTAACTTATAGAACAAGCCAACTTCTTCATCAAGGGCTTAACTAAAGAAAGAAATGATCAAGGATTTCCTATTTTTTATAAGTGATTTCCTATTTTTGCCTTACACGACGATTTTACAACCTAATTCCCCATGCAAGATACAACCTCATAGCACTACTGTCAGTAAAGCCTTGGGAGTCACTGTGTGTGTGTTATTACAGAGGACTGACGTGATGCACAACTACTAATGTACTCTCTAGCATAAGACTTCCACTTCTGGGCGGAGGGAGCCCGTATATTACAAACCTAAAGTACCAGAAATACCTTGGCCTTGACCCTTTTCTTCAGAACATAGTTTCAACAACATGCCTCCTCTCCTGGCCCAGGAGAGGCAGGAGAAGAGCAGTCTCCCCTCTAACTTCTCATGGCAGTGACTCAAGCCCTGGGAATTGAAGCCTGGGAGGGTATCCTGAGATTTCACAATTAGCACACTATTAGCACAAAAACGTTTCTGGAGCAACTTTACAGGACCCTTTGGTAAAATGACTCTAAATTTATAATGAAATCAAATCAAATTCAAAACTAGGAATGACACTTCATCAAAATCATAAACAAAAAGACTCGCAACAGGAATGGATAGCCAATGGGCTAGCTCACATAATTCAAGGGTACAGATGTCTGGTTGAGTAGAAAGTAACAGTTGTACAATAATCTAAGTTCTCCCTCAAAATATATGTCTGACTCCTCCCAACCTCAAACCATGTAATATATTTAGCCCAGATAATCCTTGTTCAAATCTCTTATCAATTTAGTGCAGTTTTGTCTCAGCTATAACTCTAACCCTTTTCAATCTTTTTGCTTTTATGTCTTTAAACTGACTGTTTAAATATGACTTTTTTAAAAACACAATTAAATTGACCTCTATAAATACACTTTAATAGCCACATTAGGTAAAGCAAGCTACATGAACAACAAGAATATCTCTAAGAAACAGTATTATAGATGTGCAAAATGATACTCTTGGTCAGCATTTTAAAAAATCAATACCGCATAGTCATTTAGAAAAATCAATACAGCATAGTCTAATCTTGGACATAATTCTCTCATAAAACTGTAAAGAAAGATAATCTTTTTTACTCTTTCAAAAAAACTATAAAATGATGATAAATCTTACTTTTTTAGAACATGACATGGACTCTAAAGGGCATGAAAAAAATGGTTCATGGTGTGATGTTAGGAAAACCTGTAAGAGGAGTGCCTGGGCGACTCAGTTGGTTAAACCTGAGACTCTTGATTTTGGCTCAGGCCATGATCTCAGGGTGGTGAGATGGAGCCCCACAATGAAACCCACGCTGGGCATGGAGTCTGCTTAAGATTCTCTCTCTCCCCCTCCCCACCCCGGCTTGTGCTCTCTTACACTCTCCCTCTCTGTCAAAAAAACCCCAACAACTGTAAGATGTAAAATGGTATGTGTGTGTATTATGATCTCAATTCTTGAAAAATACAAGCACACAATGAGATACTACTTCTTACCCATTAGAATGGCTAGAATTAAAAAAACAGAAAACAGTAAATGTTGGTGTAGATGTGGAAAACAGTATGATGGTTCCTCAAAAAATTAAATACTGAATTAAGTATTGAATTCGATCCAGCAATTCCATTTCTGGGTATATACCCAAAAGAACTGAAAGCAAAGCCTTTAACAGATATTTGTATACCCATGTTCAAGAAGCATTATTTACAATAGCTAAAATGCCCATGTGCAGATGAATGGATAAACAAAATGTGGTATATACATACAGTGAAATATTATTCAGCTTTAAAGAGGAAAGTTCTGATACATGCTACAACATGGATGAATCTTGGAGAGAGTGAAATAAGCCAGTCACAAAAGAACAAATACTGTGATTCTACTTATATGAGATACCTAAAGTAGTCAAATTCACAGACAGAGAGTAGAACAGTGGTTACCAGGGGATGGGGGGAATAGGCAGTTATTTAATGGTTACATAGTTTCAGTGTGGGATGACAAAAAAGTTCTGGAGACAGTGGTGATGGTTTTTCAGCAATGTAAATGTACTTAATGTCACTGAACTATATACTTAAAAATGGTTAAAATGGTAAATTTTATGTCAGTATATTTTACCACATTAAAAAATATATATATATTTTAAAGATTTTATTTATTTACTTGACAGAGAGAGACACAGCGAGAGAGGGAACACAAGCAGGGGGAGTGGGAGAGGGAGAAGCAGGCCTCCTACTGAGCAGGGAGCCCGATGTGGGGCTTGATCCCAGGATCTTGGGATCATGACCTGAGCTGAAGGCAGATGCTTAATGACTAAGCCACCCAGGTGCCCCTAAAAATATTTTTAATATATGCATACAGACATACATATAGGTATGTATATATGTGTATGAAGGAAATAAATTAAACCTGTATTAGTGCTTATATTTGAGTGGTAGAATTATAGAAAATCTAAATTTTATTCTTTATACTATTTGGAGTCTTTAAAAATCCTACAGTGAAAAATTAATAAAAATCAAGGAAAAAATAATTTAAAAACTGAATATGGCATGGAATTGGAGGCCCTTATCCACCTTCGTGTAGGGATCAGTTCTCCACAATGTCTTTGGGGAAGGAAGAGGGAACTACTTGGGTCTCACATATAGGAGTTGCAAACCATCTTTACTTGAAACCCACTTCTCAATGAGAACCTTCGTAGGTATTCTTGCAAAAGCATAATGTGGGATCTGTATTTTGGCTAAGATACTTCTCAGTGGATTCATGGAAAAATATTAGTGGTATGGAGACTTGGCTAGAAGACAATTTGAGACAGAGATAACAGAGCATCCTTCTTAACCACGTACCTCCCCTTTCCCCTATAAGCCTAGCATGTCACATTAAAAGTAAAAGGGTTGGGGTGCCTGGGTGCACAGCCAGTTAGTTAAGTGTCAGACTCTTGGTTCTGGCTCAGGTCATGATCTCACAGTGGTCATGGGATCGAGCCCCCCAACAGGCTCCATGCTCAGTGCGGAGTCTGCTTCAGATTCTTTCTCCTTCCCCCTCTTCCCCTCCCTGCTCACATGCTCTCTGTCTCTGTCAAAGAAATAAATAAAATCTTTAAAAAACAAAAGGGTCACGGAATTAAAAATTAAAGTTTAGAAAGACATGAATCCTTGAGGTCATTTTCCAATGACACAAGATAAAACAGAATTATCCAAAGAAAAGTAATAAGGGAGGTTATCTTGTTTTCTTTCATTTGCTTAAAAGGTTAAGCCAGATACTTATAATAATTTGAGTAAGGAATATTTATGAAAATTTAAAAAAATCTTTTTCAGGACAGTTTTGTGAAAATATGTAACATTATGCCCCTTCAAGACTATTTTATGTGACAAAGCACAAGACTATATACCTAAATTAAATCTTCCATGTTTAACAAAATCAATAACGTTCACTCAAAGACAGTTTCATGATAGCTTGAAGGTCACTTTATCAGAAAACAATTTTTTGAGTAAAATTCTAAGGCCTTCATATTTGACAGTGCCCTTCTTTAGTAATAACATACATTAAATCAGGAGGGAGAAAAAAGTGACAGGCAGTATCCTAATTATCCTAAAGAGTAAAACAGAGAAAACTTCCTGCTTGGTGTGTTGCCACCACTGAAAGGACACTGTCCTCTCCTAACTCAGGCTGTTGTTACTTTATTATCTAGAACTGAGAGGACTGTTTTCTGACTCTGCCATGCTGTCCACAGTCTATTTTGTAGGACCACCACTTCCACATTAACCTCCCTCAAGTACCACTTTGACCACGCCTTTCAGCAGTTCAAACCCCTTCGTAAGCACCTTTCTTCTTACTGTATGAATTATAAACTTCTTGCCCTGGCATTTAAGGCTTTCCAAAACTTGGCTCAAATATAAATTTTATGTTCCAACTTATAACAAAGCTATGTGCTGTTCACTAGAAACGTACTGTCCTTTTCTGCCTCCCTACCTCTGCTGGGACTAATTCTGATGATAGACCAAACAAGTACTCATTAAGAATTTACTGAATGAATGTTCTGATGATTGCAACATTAGTTTCTCTGAGCCTCAGGCATATAATTTTGTGGTTCACTAACAGTTAACAGGCCTTGCAAATCCTAATGTCTGTTAAGAATTATCCACTAGAGGGGCGCCTGGGTGGCTCAGTTGGTTAAGCGACTGCCTTCAGCTCAGGTCACGATCCTGGAGTCCCTGGATCGAGTCCCACATCGGGCTCCCTGCTTGGCGGGGAGTCTGCTTCTCCCTCTGACCCTCCCCCCTCTCATGTGCTTTCTCTCTCTCAAATAAATAAATAAAATTAAAAAAAAAAAATTATCCACTAGACAAATGCGATTTCCAAGTCCTATAGAGAACCATTATATGATCTAAGACACATAAGGAAAAAGATAAAATTTTCAGTCACAATTATTTGTATACCATAAATAAAATTTTTAGAAAATAAAAAAATAAAATATGGTAAAGCTAACACCATTAATTAAAATACAGGGGGCTATTAACATGCAAGAGGGTAACAAAGCAGCTGGCTCAGTACATGCTGAGTACCGAAAAATGTCTGCTGCTTCTTCCTATTAGTCACTGTTTCTCAGCCAGGTTAGAACATTCTGTTACTTTGTATATAAGCAAAGACTATCTCAAGACCAAATACACTTCTGCTTAAGGAGAAGAAAAATACCCATGCAAATATTTAACTTAGATGATGAAGTAACAAATGCCTAAAACAGTGTTGTTGTATGATTTTTGTAATTCCAACATTGATAACTAACTACTTCTATCACTTACGTCAGGACTAGACCATTTGGTAAAGAATGAACTCAGGCTCTGAAGACTGAGGGACCTGGGTTTGTATCTCAACTTACAAATTCTCACCATGCAACCATGAGTTTAACTCCTAGGAAACCAAGTTTCCTCAGGCCAATTAAAAACAAATATATATTTCTGTTTCTAATGGCTCTGAGAATTAAATAAGAAAATATATGGCAAATGAGGGTATATGTCCAATGTATGTTCAATAAATGATAATTCACCTCCCTATTTCCCTGCACCACTTTTAAACAGGGATTTTCTGGAACCCTAATCTTTCGATCAAGAACTCTTGGACCAGAATGGACACTATCTTCACTCACTGAGGTTTTAGAAGGTAATTTTTTGAACTCTGTAACTGCATTTCAGCACTCTTCTCTAAAATATCAACCTACTTAACTGTTTATATTAAAAGTTACAGAAATTTTGTTTGTGCAGTAAAGGGTGATACAGATATTGTGTGTGTGTGTGTGATTTCTGGTATTTTGGACTTTATTTTATGTATTAGAGAAGAAAGGAGATAGGTATGTAATTCTGGATCCATAAAACTTTGTTAGAAAAGAATACTTCCTCAATAGATCCTATTTCATGAAAAGTATTTTCAGTAATTACAGCTACTCTTAAAAGAAAAAATATATATGCTGGACTCTGCAGGAACAACTTCAGTATTAGGAGCAAGGCAAGATTCATTCATCTCTTTGCCCCTCTAGTTCAAAAACCAGTTATAATCTAAAAGGGAAACTCTTTTCAAATACCAACAGGCACAGAGGGCTAATACTGAGTCAGCTTTTGTGTAATCAAAGCAAATTTTACAGTCACTATCCCCAAATGTTTTGTTTTGTTTTTTTTTTAAAGATTTTTATTTATTTATTTATTTGAGAGAGAGAATGAGAGACAGAGAGCATGAGAGGGAGGAGCGTCAGAGGGAGAAGCAGACTCCCTGCTGAGCAGGGAGCCCGATGCGGGACTCGATCCCAGGACTCCAGGATCATGACCTGAGCTGAAAGCAGCCGCTTAACCAACTGAGCCACCCAGGTGCCCCACCCCCAAATGTTTTAATAATATATTAATGCATTCAATCTTCTTCATAAGCTTATAAGTAGGTACTATTATTATTCTGAGGAAATAGGCTTGAACAAGTTTAAAGAACTTTTCCAAGTTACATAACTAGATAGTAGTGAAGCTGGGACACAAACCCAGGAGGTCAAATTTCAAAGCCTACGTTCTTAACCAATATGGTTAATGGTTTTTAACCCTGATTCATCGGTCCCTTTTTATAACATGATTTTGAGCCTCTATTACTATCCCAAATAAAAATCAGATAATATAGCCTACCCATAAAAAATTAATGTAATGTTCTAATTGTAATGAGATAAACCAGAATTTATAAAACATGTATTTCACCATAAAAATAATTTAAAATTATGATTTTAATTAGAAAATTTTAGGCACAACTACACTATTAGACTATCTACCTATCTATCTATCTATCTAATCCTTGAAATTCCCAAAATGTCTGAGGCTGGTATTGCCCTAATGAAGAATCGCTACACTATTGCCCACTGACTTTCTACTGTCTTAGAGATCCTCTCTGTCAGAGTTGTGTTCTCTCACTTTTTTCCTTTAGATAAGCATATCGAGATCCCTCATTTTTATAAATAAACATAAAATTATGTAGAATCTCATTAAGACACTATACTGTTTAACCTCCATGAATGAGTTAAAGGCACAAATAATTTTAAAAATTGCAAACTTCTCAGTAAGAACAGAACAAAGTTTTGCTCTAAAGAAATGTCAATTAAATCTAGTTTCATCCACCACTTATCTTGCCAATTAATTTCTTATCACTTATTTTAAGTTCAGAGGCCGATGATACACTCTTAGCCTTTTGAAGTTCTGAAGCTCTCCTCATTTAGTGACTAAAGTTCATTATGGGACAATCACACTTTCAGAAATAGTTTTAGAATTTGTTATAAAAACTCCATTGACACCTCAGATCACTCTGTTTACACAGAGTCAGACCTGATTGCCCTCCACCCACCCAGGTGTTCATGAAACAATAAAGGAGGGAGCCAAACCACACCCCTTTCAAGCGCAGACCTGTTCTTTGCGACGCAGGCAGCTCACTGGCAGCAGGCAGTGTACCTGTTGTTCCAGGAGGCAGCGCGTAAGCTAAAGACGATGGTGGAGCTCCTGGTCCGCCGTGCTGGAAGGATGCTCCGGAGGAAGGGGGAGGAGGGAAAGAAGCAGCAGAGCTGGAGGTAGGTGGAGAGGCCTGGTGCTGTGTTGCATACAGCTGAGACTGCCCAGAATAGGAAGAAGCAGGAGATATGTAAGGGGTGTTAGGGTAAGCGTTTGAAGCAGAAGGAGCAACAGGCTGCTGAGGTCGATACATTGTTGACCCCCCTGTTCCGAAGGAATACTGCTGGGCTGGTTGATAAGCTACACCAAGGAGAAGAAACAGAAATTTTAATTAGTTGTAAGTTTATTCAGACAGCAATAAGAAAAACCCAAAGTTATTTCACTCTACGGAAATTATTTTCATCATTATTCTTATAACAATAAGCTACAACCAAATATTAACACTTCCGTGTTATGCTTTTGATACCTTGGATACCCTTAAATAATATAAGAGTCATTGGATCCAATATTTGAAATCTGCCATCTCCAGACTGCTGTTGGCTATGAAAATCTTTGAGGAACGCCTGGGTGGCTCAGTCGGTTGAGTATCTGCCTTTGGCTCAGGTCATGATCTCAGGGTCTTGGGATGGAGCTCTGTATCGGGCACCCTGCTCAGCGGGGAGTCTGCTTCTCCCACTTACTCTGCCCCTCCCTCCCAACTTGTCCTTTCTCTCTCTCTCACTCTCACTCTCAAATAAGTAAATAAAATCTTAAAAAAAAATGTTTGAATCATCAGACCCAAGAACTACAAGACTGATACTTTCCTGCCCCTGGGAAAAGACTGCAGTGACACCTACTAGCTCCCAGATGGAACCACGCAGGAATTACATGTTCAAAGCACTTCCCCTTACAGTAAATTATAGGGACTCTGGTCATGGCTCAATATCTCTCCCACTGTAAGAACTGTAGGGTGAACACTATTGTTATGAATCAAATACCTTCTCCAACATCTGGTAATATCATCAGCTACTCAAACTGTGATTTTGAGCATAGTTCCAGATTAAAAGCCAACTCTCTATGGTCCCTGCCAAAACAATTACTATACAATATTTTATATACTGTGCACAGTTGGTTAGTAAGCCTTCAGGCAGCCAACTAACATTCTAATGCAAAGATCTGAGCCCAAATTAGAGAATACTATCACATTCTTCATGACCAGGGCTAGGTATGGACTTCTATAGAATGAATCTACTAGAACTGTACTTATTTTACTCTGAAGAGAGCACGAGCGAAAAGTTGTGTCAAATCTGTATTCATGTTAAGTAAGAACATCCATTTTAGTACAGAACAGACTTATTAGGATTAGTTCTTACTAGGCAGTGGCCTCTTGCTTTTGTAATAGTTGTTTAGTCATACAATTTTCCCCTTGGAGATTTTTATTTTTTTGGTCAATTAAATTTTAAAATAGTGGTGATATTTTCTTTCGAAGTGCAAATGTTTTCTAAAAAACAAAAGCCAAAGGTGGGTACATGTCATTATTATATATCTGTCAAAATTCACAGAATGTTCAACACCAACAGTGTACCCTAAGTTAACTATGTGTCAGTGTAGGTTCATTAACTGTAACAAATGGACCACTGGGGTGCAGGCTGTTGATAGCAGAGGAGGTTGTGCATGGGGGCAGGGAGGATACTGGAACCTTCTGTACTCTTCACTCAAATGTGCTATCTAAAACTGCTCTAAAATGAAGTCTATTTCTTAAAAAGATGATATAAATGGAAAACAACAAAAACAAATGTCCCTAGGAACCATTTTTCCAAAAATGGTTAGTGTCATCTTGCTTAAAGGAAAAGAATATGCAACCAAATCCTTTCAAAAAGTCTGTTTTTTGTTCCTACCCAAATCATCGGACAATTCACTGTCCTTAGTAATCGCTCAGGAACAGGAGCCAACTGTTCTGAATGGACTGACACAGGAGTTGTTTCCTCGCATGCTGATTCAGGATGCTTCCCAGGGAAACCATGTCTCTCTCTCTCAAGTCCTACACAGAATGGTTCTTTACTTGTTAAAACTGATTTGATCATGGGTTTGGAGCTCCAAATCGAATGGTTTCGCCATTAGAATAAGACATGTGGCTGTACTAAGGACTTCAGGGTTGCACTACTTACGCTGTGGCTGTGGATAAGGTGGTACCTGGGTGTGCATATGACCCGGAGAGGTGGGAAGCTGAGCTGTGGCAGCATTTGGGTTAACATTTCCATGCATTATGAAACCTGGAGGTGGAGGATTTTCTCCCTAGGGAATGAGAATATGATAAAAAGGAGGATTACATTTGGAACCAAGAATCTTACCCAGATGGATTTATAATCTCTGAAATGGAATTGTGTTTATTTTTCTAAAAAAAAAAAAAATTTATTGTGTAAGAAACCCTGCATTTTGCACATTCTATCTTCTTTAGAACACATTCTCTGAGCAACACGTTCTAAGTGATTTAAAGATTAAACAGGTCCAAAGTAATAAATGCAATGAATGGCAACAGATGCTAATAACTTCATAAAATAGTGTCAGTGATATTCATACTAAGTCACCAGGATTTTCCATCTCTACTAATTTCATCCACTACTCCACACTTTGGAAATATAAGCATAAATGCCACAAGGGAACTTTCACTTCTTTTCAATTTCTGCAATGCTCAAAAAACAAAGAAAGAAAAAAGAAAATCTTCAGTGAAATCAGATTTAAACCACTGTTAGAACTTTAGTTGATATTTTTCTAGCTGAGGTCAATTTAGAACTGCAAAAGAGGGGCACCTGGGTGGCTCAGTTGGTTAAGCGACTGCCTTCAGCTCAGGTCATGATCCTGGAGTCCCGGGATCGAGTCCCGCATCGGGCTCCCTGCTCGGCAGGGAGTCTGCTTCTCCCTCTGACCCTCTTCCCTCTCATGCTCTCTCTCATTCTCTCTCTCTCAAATAAATAAATAAAATCTTTAAAAAAAAAAAAAAAAAGAACTGCAAAAGAAGGAGAGGGATAAGAAAATAAATGAACTGTCCTAAAAACTGCTTCTTGCATCCTAAAGCATTAAAATGCAATAAGCAGGCAGACAGATGGGGGGGGGGGGGGGAGGAGAACTTAAGAAAAGCGGGGGGGGGGGTAGAGAATATTTAACTATATATATTTAGGTGAGCGGAATTCTGCTCAAAGATGAATAATGAAGGATATACCTGTGTGTCACAGGGAGAGGCTGCAGGTGGATGGCTGGGAAGGGCGGTAGGAGTTTTGTTACTCCAGGTAGTGACAGTAGGGGCAATTCTAACCTGAATTGAACAAAGAAATACCAATCACAGAAAATAAAAAATAAAAATGTTAAAAGAAGAAAAAAAAAACCCAAAAGGCAATAATAGCCGGATGCAAAGCAAAAAGTAAGAACAGCAAGATACTATATGTTAGTCAGGCAATTGCTTTCAAGGTAGCTGGGATTCCAAAGGAAAAGCACACATTCACAATGAAACAGGGGGAGGGAGGCAGGAGAAAAATCAATATGAAAACCTAAATCAAAGCATAAAAAACAATGCCATTCAAGTGTCAGGAATAAGGGGAAAAAGCTAGTTCCTGTAAGTAGGTAAGGAAAGAAGACACGGGGGGGAAGGTAATAGAGTAAAAAAGTGATTTTGAAGCATTAATAGTATTCATGCTACTATTAGATCTGTAAATATATTGCTATAAGCTCCCTTTTCTGGATTTTATTAGAACCACAAAAATCTTATTAGTCCCATATGAGGCTTAGAAACATACAATCAGAGAATATTAGAGACCATCCAGTCTAATCCCCACCTTTTACCATTGAGAAAACCAACACCCAGAGAAATGAAGGGGCTTGCTGAGGTCCATACAACTAGCTGGTGACATTGCTAGGACTGAATCAGGCCTCCTGATTCCCAGGCCAGTATTTGCTATACTATACCACGCTGCTTACCCTGGAGTCCTGAGATTTTCAAAAAAATTTTTTAAGCCATCACAATCTTTTTTGTCAAGTAAACCTTCATAGAAACTCTTCATTCAGCATAAGATAAGCTTTAATCAAGAAAATCACTACTTAATTTACTACTGAATTTGTTTTTCTTTTCTTAAAGGATGAGACTGCTAGGTCAAAGTATAACAAAAGTTTTCCAGTGTTTTTACATCTTCCCAGAAAGACAGATAAACCCAGGGACATAAAGAGTAAATATTTTCTTTTCCCAATATAGAGGGTGTCTCACTTCAGTACCCTGAGACAGTATGATTGAACTAAAGGGGCTTGAAAGTTCTAACACCAAGTTGGCCATTAACTAGCCACACAATGCTAAGAAATTCAAGCTCTAAGTCTTAAAACTGGCTTGTCACTTGACCTCTCTGCCTCTCAGTTTTTCTAGCCATTGCCTGCTTTGCCCTACCTATGTCATAGGCTTTCTAAAACTAGTGCAATCTCCACAAGATTGGGAAATTTAATCCGTTTTGTTTACCAATATACCAACAGGTAGAATAAAGATAGACACTCATAGTAAAGCTCTCAAAAAAATAATTGTCAAATAAAGGAAAAAACAAAAGTTAAAATCAAATGTAATCTATTCTGATTAAGTATTAATCAAAAGTACAACAGACAGAAGCACACAAATTGATCTTTTTTTTAGTTTTCCATGATTTTATATTTACTTTTGCTGCAATGAAATATAAAAAAGGCCTTGTCAGGACACTGGGGTGACTCAGTTGGTTAAGCGTCTGCCTTCAGCTCAGGTCATGATCCCAGGGTCCTGGGATCGAGTCCCGCATCAGGCTCCCTGCTCAGTGGGGAGTCTGCTTCTCCCTCTGCCTCCCGCTCCCCCTGCTTGTATTCGCAAGCTCTCTTGCTCTCTCTCTCTCTCTGGCAAATAAATAAATAAAATCTTAAAAAAAAGAGAAAATTATAAAAAAAAAAGGCCTTGTCAATTCTATCAATAATCTGTTGTATTTAATTAACTCATTTTTTTTTTAAGATTTTATTTATTCATTTGAGAGAGAATGAGATAGAGAGAGAGCATGAGAGGGGGGAGGGTCAGAGGGAGAAGCAGACTCCCTGCCGAGCAGGGAGCCCGATGCGGGACTCGATCCTGGGACTCCAGGATCATGACCTGAGCCGAAGGCAGTCACTTAACCAACTGAGCCACCCAGGCGCCCATAATTAACTCATTTTTAAAATAATCTGTTGTATTTTATTTTATTTATTTATTTATTTTTTAAAGCAGTTTTTTTTTTTTTTTTAAGATTTTATTTATTTATTTGACAGAGAGAGAGAGAGACAGCAATAGAGGGAACACAAGCAGGGGGAGTGGGAGAGGGAGAAGCAGGCTTCCCACAGAGCAGGGAGCCCAATGTGGGGCTCGATCCCAGGACCCTGGGATCATGACCTGAGCCGAAGGCAGACGCTTAACGACTGAGCCACCCAGGCGCCCCTAATCTGTTGTATTTTAAAATGGGCAGAGTACCTGCTAACTTTGTTATCAGTGAAGACCATTTTTTACTTATGAAAATGTACTTTCCATTTAAGTACATGAAGGCTATCTGTGGGTCCAGAAATACAGTAGACATAGTAAACTTATAATAATGATTCAGAATAGAATACTCAAAAAAAAGAGTACGTTTTCTAAGAATATTTTATAATATTAACCAAATCACCCAAAAAATTGTTCCCACTACTTTACTTATAGTTTGTTGGATGAATCAAACTGTAGCAGTTTCAAGACACATGTACATGTGTAAGGGAAGTATGAGTGATGAGAAATAAGAAGAAATCTCCCCAGAGAGCTTAAATTAATTTATATTTAAAATATAATCTGTTTGCCTAGATTAATCATTTAAAAAAACTGACCATAAATACCACTTCCAAGAATATAAAAAGAAAAACTATTAAAATAATATGTTGTCTAGTTTTATCATAGCAGATTAAGGTTTCTTACCCAATAAACTAAAACCACCAATTTGAAGAGAAATATATAAATGTTCTACTTAATCCAGACCGTATCACTCACATGCGGATAATATTGTTGAGTTGGAACTCTTGGCGTCTGTGAGTGGCCAGCCATTGGTCCAGGCCTGCCCTTGGGCAGCTGCTGCCTCTCATAAGGAATTTTAGGTGATTCCTGTCCTGGTACAGGCTGTCCTTGTGCTCTACAAAGTCTGTCACGAAGCTGCACAATATTTGGCTAAAATAAGTAATGGAAGAAAACAAAGCAAACTGTTAGCGTTCACCCAACTATATGATAGCATGTTGCTTTTCTTCAAGTAAGCTTGATCGGTCATATGCTCCTTGTTTATATGCTGTTTCCTATATAACAGACCCTGGCACATGAGGGTTTCACATCATGGATTCTGATACTCAAGACTGATACCAAAGGTCCAAGATATATAGTGTGACTTGTAATTTAACTGAGACAGGGATTGGAATTACACCCACTACATAGTAATATGTAAGATCAGTGTCACTTATCATCTCTGCTCTTTTATATTTTCTTGTAGTTGAGTAATGCTCACAAATCATAAAAGTGTTAAAAAAAATACAACTTTGTTTCTTTATAGGGAAATAAGGCCCCTCAAAAGAATCAACTGCTAAAGATGGTGATGGAAGAAAATGGTGATCTGAGAAAGAGAGGAAAATTAATAAAAAAAAAAAAAGAGATGCTGGAAATAAGTTAAAAGAGTAAGATGTCACACTCACAGTAGCTTATGCAGATCTATAATTATACAGATCTACAACAAGTGTGAGTTGACCACATACATGTTCTAGGTATTAACAAACAACAACAAAAAATTAATGTTAAAATATTTCAGCAAGAACTGATTTTAATATCTTTAAAAATCATACATTTCTATAAATTCATTAAAGGTTTAAAGCTGTCATTCAAACTTTAAGGTATATTTTATTGCCTATTAGGGAGGAAGATTAAATACTATAATGATATCACAAAGTCTCAGAACATATTCCCCAGAAAAAACTAAGGGTCTACTGAGATACATAGAAGACAGCAACTTCGAAATTGTGTATTTACATAAAGAACGTTCTTTAAAAGTCCAAAGAAAACATGAAGAATCATGTATAGAAAATGTATGTTGTTATAGAAATGGTAATGAAAATAAAGAGTTTAATACTAAGGCTAGAAGATCTAAAGGTTTTAGATTAAGTTATTCTTAAAATAAAGGGTCTTATAACTTAATAATGGGATCTTATTAAGTAAAAAGGCATAAAACTATTATGCCAAAGTCATCATAAAGCCTATGTTTCTATTCTACCTAATATTCTCATAAAGATATGACATGTAAGTGTGTTCAAAACCAACTAGTCATACCTCCATAATCCTGGAACACAGATATAAGGATTTTTACTCATTGAAATTTATTGATAATTCCCTAGAACAGAAAAAATACTGAAAACATTTAACTAAAAAAATCCATTAAAACAAAATAAAGTTAATAATAAAATGTATAGAAATAAGAAAATATCTTCAAGGCTCAAAATTAAGCTCTGTCAGACACACAATATAGATATAAACATCCTACTTGTGGAAAACTGTCCTCAAATCCCACTCTAATTTCCACCCATGCTCTATTATTAAATTTAGGTTGCCCTCTTCTGTGCTTCCACAGCCCTACTACCTCTCTCACAGTATGTATCACTTTTGGAATTGTATGTTTACTTGTCTATATTCAGTTTGAGTTTGGAAACTCCCTCAGGAAAAGAATCCTGGCAACTGTGTCCATCACTATATAGTCAGTCAATTACTGAATTCCACTGCATTGAAAAAGCCCATTTTTCAATGGACACCAAATAAGGACACTAAATTAGAAATGTAATTCTCTTTGCTTTCAGTACTTTAAAAATGTATTTGTCCTGGGGCGCCTGGGTAGCTCAGTTGGTTAAGTGTCCGACTCCTGATTTCGAAAAGCTCAAGTCATTATCTCAGGGTTGTGGGCTGGAGCCCCATGCTGCGCTCCACACTGGGCATGGAGCCTGCTTACGATTCTCTCTCTACCTCTCCCTATGCCTCTCCCCGCGCCCCTCGCCCCCCCGCCCCAAATACACATACACACACACACACATGTCCCCAGAAAATATCAGACTGGAATGGTATATAAAATGAACTTCTTTACTAGTATCTATGTCTGGGGTGGCATTTTAAAACCACAACCCCATTTGTTTGGTTAAGTATTAAATATTTATAGCTTTTCAACACAGAAGATTCCTACAAAGAACCTTGTATGAAGAATCAGCATTTGGCTTAAGAAACAAAAAGTTGGTCCTTTCCCCATTTATTTTCTTCAAATAGTATGCCCCTCAGTAGAAAGGGATCTATCATACAACAAGAGTATCCTATCTCTCTGATACAGTCTGGCTATACCTAAAATGATCCTTGAATAATTGTCAGTAATATTCACCTACACTCAGATGATAGAAACTCAACTGCTCTAAAACATTCTACCTACCAGTATGTTTAATACTGAGTGCTACCTACTGGACTCACCTTTATTCACATATTAAAAGAAGAAAAATGGTCAATTCTAATTACCTGGTTGGTGTTTTCAGGAAGAAAAGCCAAGGCTGCAGCAATACTGCCTTGGGCTGCCAACAAATTGGCATACTGACTCATCTTCTCAGCCAAAAGAACTCCTACAGTACTGGTGTCCATGGCTTGGGTGAGTTGTACAGCTTTTCGCAGGATGACAACTTTCTCAATAAGATCCTAAATGAGAAAAAGAAGGCAGAGAGAAGGAGAACCAGACAAAGATACCAAGATATATATGAAAGAAAGCAGGAAAAGATAAAAGAGTTATGAAGGTTTCTAAAACCTACTAAAAGTACATCTTATTATTCTCTTTCTAAAAAACATCTGCAACAGCTGACCACAATTTAAGTAAACCGAAAAAAAGTAAGGAGGAAGAAGGTCTCTTATTCATGGATAAGTCGTAGGTTACCACCTTCTAAATATCCTTAAACTGCCAGATATTTGTCTTGTGAGCTAAAGTAGGCAAATATCCAAAGTAAAAGTGATAGGCAGATATCCAAAGGCAGAAGCTGGGTTCCAGCAGGTATAAAACGAACTATGACTAAAAATATCATACTAGCTACACTATAAAAACAGTACTACCATGAGGTAGTAGTACTACCATGAGCTTACTATTTCATGACCTCCAATGAGCTTACTATTTCAACCCAAAGTTTCTCATGTTGCTCTTTGATACCAATTACTTCAATAACGGGGAGCTTCAAGTATAAAGCACAAGAATATCCTACCTATCTGTCCTTCAAAGGTACACAGATTCAGAAATATGAAGCAAGCATGCTTTTTCTCAGAAGCACTTAGAAGGAAAGCCTTGATTTCCTACCAGATTTTTAGTTTCAATAGAGGGATCTTTAAAAGAACAACTCTATTGACAAAATCTCTTTCCAGAGAGAAAAAGAAATATACTTGAATGAAATATTATGAGACTCTGCTGATTAAATGCTTGGAAAAAAAGTTCTAAATATATAGTTACTCAGTGGCTGAGAAGAGTCCCCATATTTTTTACTACCCCGCTTGCCCAGGCTGTAGTGCTATATGGGATTCCATTTACCTCTTACTTTCATTTTCCCTTAACCATGAATATCTTAATCTATTCTCTATTGGTACTGGGGATGCCTCCCATTCCTTGCCCACATTGCTTCTTTCCTTGCCCAAGACAGACAGAGTCACCAGAGGGCAGCGAGAGAGAAGCATAAGGAAAAAGAATTAACTCTAGGGCTGTTTTCATGCTACTGCCATCTGCTTCCCCCAATAAACTACCAAATTATAACCTTGATTTCATAAACAGTTGTGACCCCATTTTACCTATTCCATCATTTCATACTTTGTCCCTCCAAATATAGCTATAAAGACACATAAATTATCCAGCAAAAGAATTTCTAAAACATAGATAATGAAGGTGAAAGCAATGAATTTCTGGAACGAATCAATTTCTAGAATATAAGTAGGGTGAAAGACAACACAAAGTTTCAAAGATACTAACCTGAAGGGACAAAGGACTGCTTCCATCTTGAGCTTTAGTCCAACATGCAACTAGTTTCTCTACATTCCCTGCACAAATATAGCAGAGACATGCTTGAGTCTGCAGGAGGCTATCACCTTCACTTTCAAGCCTGGTTCCCAAAAGATCTAAAGATCAAGAGGAAAACAAAATAAGATTATACTCAAAGCAATCTGTATATGAAATTATAAGTAGGCCAATAATATTTTCAGAAGTATGAATTAAATTTCACAACCAATGAGCAGTAAAAACAAAATCACTGTTATGTAAATGCTCAGTAAATATTTATTTGTTCAAAGAATGGAAGTGTGTGACTAACTGTATATAATAAATGGCTTGACAAGATTCTATATACCTAGCTATAGAATGAACTTCCATTAATTATATTAAAAAATAATAAATGGGAACAGTATTTGAACAGAAAAATCCTAATGAACATTTAACTCCATTTCATTGTATCTGATGTTTGTGTAAGTAGTAGACTACAATATGGCACATTTGGAATGAACATCAATGGTAGGCAGGACTACTATAAATTACTTACGATAATAAAGTTAATACCTTATAAATTTCATATTCTCATAATGCTTTCAAGGTAGCAAATGGTCGGTTGTTCTTATACCAGCAGCCTAAAGCTTCTGTTCTTACAAATAAGGAGTATCATTCCTTAGCCACCAGTCTAGTCATGGCCTTTAACGGTAATTTGTAATTTCCATTCAAATGCTATAATTACTAATTTTATTAAGCTAATATTTTATTTATTTGACAGAGAGAGAGAGCACAAGCAGGGAGAGCAGCAGAGGTAAAGGGAGAAGCAGACTCCCCACTGAGCAGGGAGCCTGACGTGGGGCTTGATCCCAGGACCCCAGGATCATGACCCAAGCAAAAGGCAGGCACTTAAATGACTGAGCCACCCAGGCGCCCCTATCAAGCTAATATTTATTAAGTGAAAGCTGATTACATGCAATTTTACAAATAATAAACTAAGGCTTAGAAAGTAATCTTTCCTAGGTCAGACAGCTAGTAAGTGGCAGAGGCAAGATTCCAACTCTGGTCCGCCTGAAACCAAAATCATTAAAAATAATGACTAGGTATGGAGAAATAATGTAGTTAATAATTCTGAGAAAAGCATTCAAATGAGAACTTCTTTTTCTTATGGAGTGATTAGTTGGTTTGCAAAAATTTCTAATAATACCTCTCAGTAATTTTATTTAAAATATGCTATGCCATATACATAATATAAATATAACTATAAGGCTCATTTTCTTACCACAAAGGGCTGAAAATTCATCTGGTTTAGCATAAGTCAATACTGCAGCTAAAGCCTCTCTCCAATTTTTAAGGTCACAAGACTCAACAATTTCTTTCCAGTTCTTCATCACCACTGCAGTAATTAGCTTAAGAAAGGAAAATAAAGGGAGAATTAAAAGCCTTTGGTCTATTAGTAAAAATTAACTCTGGCTAATCAATCATATCATTCAAAACTACTATTCAAAGTATTTCATGCAGAATAAAGCAGCAGCAAAGTGAAGTATATCCTTGAACCAACTGACATAAAAGATGGTTATTATTTTTCCTCAAACAACATCAAACAAACATATTTTATAAATAGGCTGGGAAGGAAAAGTACAGGGTGTTATCAAAACATTTAACAGGGAAACATGACCTGGTCTGATGGAGTACATGTGAGATATGAAGTCAGAATTAACTTCCTCAAGAAAAAAACAGGTCAGGAAACAGGAAGATGGCAGAGGAGTAGGAGGACCCTAGGCTTACCTTGTCCTGTGTATACAACTAGGTAATTATCCAATTATCTTAAATACCCCAGAAGTCGAAAATGAGTCAAGGAACTCACTCTCTCTCTCTCTCTCTCTCTCACACACACACACGCACAAAGGACATAAAATATAATAACATATATAAACAATGGGGAGGAGAGGATAAAAGAATGAGTCAAACTTAAACTAACATCAACTTCATACAGACTGCTGCTATATGCAGAAGAGGCTATATACAAACCTAATGGTAATGCTAGATCAAAAACCACTAAAAAACATGCAAGAAATAAAAAGAAAGAAATCCAAATATACCACTAAAAAAAATCAGCAAAATGTGAAAAAAAGACAAGAAAGGATCAGAAAAAATCTCCAGGAACAACCACAAAACAATAATAAAATGGCAATAAATACATATCTATCAATAATTATTTTGAATGTAAATGGACTAAACACCCCAATTAAAAGACATGGGTGTCAGAATGGATAAAAAAACAAGACCCATCTATATGCTGCTTATAAGAGACTCATTTTAGACCTAAAGATACCTGCAGATTGAAAGTGAGGGGGTGGAGAAACATTTGTCACACAAATGGACATCAAAAGAAAGTTGGAATAGCAATATCAGACTAGACTTTAAAACAAAGATTGTAACAAGAGACAAAGGAGGACACTATATAATAATAAAGAGGACAATCCAACAAGAAGATATAATAATTGTAAATATTTATGCACCCAACATGGGAGTGCCCAAATATACAAAACAATTAATAACAAACACAAAAGGAGTAATTGATAATAAGACAAAAATAGTAGTTAATAACCCACTCACATCAATGGACAGATCTAAACAGAAAATCAACAAGGAAACAATAGCTTTGAATGGCACACTGGATCAGATTGACTTACAGATATATTCAGAACATTCCAAAACAGCAGAATACACATTCTTTTCAAGTGCACATGGAACATTCTCCAGAATTGGTCATATATTAGGTTACAAAACAGGCCTCAACAAATATAAAAAGAATGAAGTCATACTATGCACCTTTTCTGACCACAATGCTATTAAACTGGAAGTCAGCCACAAAAAAAAATCTGGAAAGGTCACACATACATGGGGGTTAAATAACATGCTACTGAACAATGAATGGGTCAAATAGGAAATTAAAAAAAGAAATAAAAAAAAGTACATGGAAACAAATGAAGATGAAAACACAATGGTCCAAAACCTCTCGGATGCAGCAAAGTGGTTCTAAGAGGGAAATACGGGCCTACCTCAAGAAGCAAGAAAAATCTCAAATAAGCAACCTAACCTTACACTAAAAGAAGCTAGAAAAAGAACAACAAATGAAGCCTAAAGCCCGCAAAAGGAAGGAAATAATAAAGATTAGAGCAGAAATAAATGATACAGAAACTAAAAAAAGCAATAGAACAGATCAATGAAACCAGGAGTTGGTTCTTTGAAAACATTAATAAAACTGATAAACTTTTTTTTTTTTAAAGATTTTATTTAATTATTTGACAGAGAGAGACACAGCGAGAGAGGGAACACAAGCAGGGGGAGTGGGAGAGGGAGAAGCAGGCTTCCCGCTGAGTGGGGAGCCCGATGCGGGGCTTGATCCCAGGACCCTGGGATCATGACCTGAACTGAAGGCAGACGCTTAACGATTGAGCCACCCAGGCGCCCCAAAACTGATAAACTTCTAGCAAGACTTACCAAAAAGAAATGAGAAAGGACCCAAATAAATAAAATCACAAATGAGAGAGGAGAAGTAACAACCAACACTACAGAAATACAAGAAATTATAAGAGAATATTATGAGAAACTGTATGTCAACAGATTGGACAACCTAGAAGAAATAGGTAAACTCCTAGAAACATAAATTACCAAAACTGAAAAAGGAAGAAATAGAAAATAGGAAACTTGAACAGACCAATAACCAGCAATGAAACTGATTCAGTAAGCAAAAAACTCCCAAAAACCAAAAGTCCAGGACCAGATGGCTTAACAGGCAAATTCTACCAAACATTTAAAGAAGAGTTAATACCTATTCTTCTCAAACTACTCCAAAAAACAGAAAAGAAAACTTACAATTCATTCCAAGAGGCCAGCATTACCCTGATACCAAAATCAGATAAACATACCACAAAAAAGAACTATAGGGGCGCCTGGGTGGCTCAGTCGGTTGAGCATCCGGCTCTTGGTTTCAGCTCAGGTCGTGATCTCAGGGTTGTGAGATCGAGCCCCATGTAGGGCTCTGTGCTCAGCGCAGAGTCTGACTGTCCCTCTCCTTCTGCTCCTCCTCCCGCTCACACACTCTCTCTCTCAAAAAAATAATAAATAAAATCTTTAAAAAAAAAATTACAGGCCAGTATCTCTGATGAACATAGATGCAAAAAATCTTCAACAGAATACTAGCAAACTGAATCCAACAATACATTAAAAAAAAATCATTCATCATGATCAAATAGGATTTATTCCTGGTTGCAAGGGTGGCTCAATATTCGCAAATTAACCAATATGATACATCATATCAATAAGAGAAAGGATAAGAACCATATGATCCTTTCAGTAGATGCAGAAAAAAGCATTTGACAAGGTATATCCATGCATGATAAAAACCCCCAGTAAAGTAGGTTTAGAGGGAACACACCTCAACATAATAAAGGCCATATATGAAAACTCACAGGTAATACCATCCTAAATGGGGAAAAACTGAGGGCTTTTCCTCTATGGTCAGGAACAAGACAAGGATGTCCACTCCCGCCACTTTTATTCATTATAGTACTGGAAGTCCTAGCCTCAGCAATCAGACAACAAAAAGAAATAAAAGCCATCCAAATTGGCAAAGAAGAAATCAAACTTTAACTATTTGCAGATGACATGATCCTCTATGCAGAAAACCCAAAGATTCCACCAAAAAATTGCTAGAACTGATACAGGAATTTAGTAAAGCCACAGAATACAAAATCAAGGTAAAGAAATCTGTTGCACTTCTATACACCAATAATGAGGGAGTAGAAAGAGAAATTAAGGAATCAATCCCATTCACAACTACACCAAAAATAGTAAGATACCTAGGAATAAACCTAACCAAAGAGGTAAAAGACCTGTACTCTGAAAACTATAAAACACTGATGAAAGAAATTGAAGATGACACAAAGAAATGGAAAGATATTCCATGTTCATGGATTGGAAGAACAAATATTGTTAAAATGTCTGTGCTACCCAAAGCAATCTATACATTTAACATAATCCCTATCAAAATACCAACAGAATTGTCCACAGAGCTAGAACAATAATCCTAAAATTTGTATGGAACCACAAAAGACCCTGAATAGCCAAAGCAATTTTGAAAAAGAAAAGCAAAGCTGGAGGCATCACAATTCCAGACTTCAAGGTATATTACAAAGCTGTAGTCATCAAGACAGTATGGTACTGGCATAAAAACAGATATATAGATCAACAGAACAGAAAATCCAGAAATGAACCTACCACTATATGGTCAACTAACCTTCGACAAAGCAGGAAAGAATATCCAATGGCAAAAAAAAGTCTCTTCAACAAATGGTGTTGGGAAAATTGGACAGCAACATGCAAAAGAATAAACTGGACCACTTTTTTACACCATACACAAAAATAAATTCAAAATGGATGAAAGACCTAAATATAAGACAAGAATCCATAAAAATCCTAGGGAAGAACACAGGCTGTAACCTTTTTGACATAGGCTGTCGCAACTTCTTTCTAGATATGTCTCCTGAGGCAAGGGAAACGAAAGTAAAAATAAACTATTGGGACTTCATCAAAATAAAAACCTTCTGCACAGCGAAGGACAATCAACAAAACTAAAAGGCAACCATGGAATGGGAGAAGATACATGCAAATGACATATCTGATAAAGGGTTAGTATCCAAAATATATAAAGAACTGATATAACTCAATCCCCCCCAAATAATCCAATTAAAAAATGGGCAGAAGTCATGAATAGACATTTTTCCAAAGAAGACAGATGGCTAACAGACACATGAAAAGATGCTCAACATCACTCATCATCAGGGAAATACAAATCAAAACTACAATGAGCTATCACCTCACACCTGTCAGAATGGCCAAAATTAACAACACAGGAAACAACAGATGTTGCAAGGATGTGGAAAAAGGGGAATCCTCATGCACTGTTGGTGGGAATGCAAGCTGGTGCAGCTACTGTGGAAAACAGAATGGTGGTTCCTCAGAAAGTTAAAAATAGAACTAGCCTACGATCCAGCAATTGCACTACTAGGTATTTACCCAAAGGATACAAAAATACTGATTTGAAGGGATAAATGCACCCTGATGTTTTTAGCAGCATTATCAACAATCGCCAAATTATGGAAAGAGCCCAAATTGTCCACTGACTGATGAATGGATAAAGAAGAGGTGGTATATACAGACAATGGAATATTACTGAGCCATAAAAAAAGAATGAAATCTTGCCATGTGCAATGATGTGGCTGGAGCTAAAGAGTATTATGTTAAGCAAAATAAGTCAGTCAGAGAAAGACAGATACCATATGATTTCACTCATATGTGGAATTTAAGAAACAAAACAAATAAGCAAAGGGGAAAAAGAGAGAGAGGCAAACCAAGGAAGAGACTCTTAACTATAGAGAACAAACTGATGGTTACCAGAGGGAAGGTGGATGAAATAGGTGATGGGGATTAAGGAGTACAGGTATTGTATGGAAGTGCTGAATCACTAAATTGTACACCTGAAACTAGTATTATGCTGTATGTTAACTAACTAGAATTTAAATTAAAACAAAAAAAAGAAAAGAAAAAAAAAAACCACGACATTCCAGGGCAAGGGAACACAAGGTGCAAAGTCCCAAGGGAGAAAGGCACACAGAGTGTCTGAGGAACTGAAAGGCAGCCAGTGTGGCTGAAAGATAAAAGGGAGGGAGTGACATAAGATAAGGCAGGGGAGACTGACAGCAACCAATGCTGACAGGACTGAACACTGAGACAACTTTTATGGAAAGAAATTTAGTAACATTAAGCAGGGCCTTAAAAATGTTCAGACTCTCTGCACCAAAAATTCCTTTCCTAGGACTTACAGCCTCATTAAATAGTTAGAAATCACATAAAATCCTTGGGTACAACAAAGATGTTTATCACTATCTTATCTGTATTAGGAAAATATTAGAAACTGCCTAAACACCTCAAAAGTAAGAGAAATAATATATCCTTACTATAAAACATAGAGCAATTAAAAATTTTTGTAAGACTCTTTAATGAAATGGTAAACCATTTACAACGTAAGTGGCAATATCTATAAGCAAAACTACACACATATATACACATATATGGGCCTGATTCTGTTTTTAAAAATTCTACAAATACATAGGAAGAGGTACAAAGGGTATGTACCAATTTGATGGAAGAATCAGAATTTTAAAATTAAAATTTTTATCTTTATATTTTTCTATATTCTAACTTTTCTACAATAAAAAAATGAAAAGTACTTTTCATTAAAAAAGTTATATACACAAAGTACAAAAAATAAAAATAATAACAGTGCCAAACCATTGACAATAACTATTTCTGGTTCAAGGAATTATGACTGGGTTTTTTGTTCTTTACTGTTTTTTGCATTTCAGTTCTCTTTAGTAAGACTGTATTGCTTTTATAAGTGTTATAACAGGTGTTACAGTTTATCTATTTTTCAAATAACATACCCTGGTAATTTTGCTTTGGGATTTTGCAAAATATTTTTTCTGCGTTTGAGCCAAGAGTTCTTGTCCACCTGCTATGGCCAATATAATGGCATCAGCCATGCGGTTATCATGTAAACAAAGGTCAACAGCACTCTCAAAGTTACCCGTCAGCAAAGCCTGAGTAATTAAGCCATCAATATCTGCAATGAGGAAATAATACATCCAAGTTAAATAAAGTTTTTGTTACAAGAAAAAATCCTATACATATCAATTTTTACATGTACACACAAAGGAAAAAACAATGCTAACTTCTGAATATTACTAGTGGATTAATTTCTAACAAAAGTTTTTGAGGTCTATGGAAATATACTGAGATGCATGTAAGTAAAATCAGGTAAAATAACACATCTTTCAGATTCTTTAAACTGGAGTAATAGAGATTGTTATACAGTTGTTTATCACAGAGATGTCAGAACATACCACTATCTCCAAGAGACTGATTACATATACTAAATAACTGAGTTCTTCTTTTCAACCCTCTACCACTTGCGACAAAACATTTGTAACCTAAGCTTAGGGCCTATTTGCTTTCAAATAGCTAAAAATCAAAATTAAATAGGTACTTACCGCCACTGATGGAGATGTTAAATGTTCCTCCTGCTGATGGTAGAAATTCAGATTCTTGTTTTCCCTCTTTAATGCACTAAAGAGATGGAAAGGACAGCAATTCAGCCAGAATGAAACTGGAATAATTTACTAGCAACACAAGATTTATATATGATTATTCACCTACTAACTAAATGACATACCAAGTATTCCAGAAAAGTTCTCAGATCCAAGACTTTCCTAAGTATTAACTCCCATTATACAATCATAAATAAAATACAAGGTTATCAGGAATAATGTTAAAAAAAACCTTAAGGGTACATAATCTATTACTGGTAGCTCAGAAATTACTGAAGAATCTTTGTTTTCTTAGATACTTCAAATAAGAATAGCCTGAAACACGCAAAATACACGTTTTTAATTTTACTGTATTTAGATTTTAAAGCAACCCTGCTGCTATACATCTAAAATTTTCTACATGTCTAAAAATTTCTGTCCAATCATTAGATTTAGTTATAAGGTCTTTTTATTTTAATTGAACCAGTCTTTTTTTTTTTTTTTTAAGATTTTATTTATTTATTTATTAGAGAGCGAGCGAGAGAGAAACAGCATGAGAGAGGAGAGGGTCAGACGGAGAAGCAGGCTCCCCGCTGAGCTGGGAGCCCGATGTGGGACTCGATCCCGGGACTCCAGGATCATGACCTGAGCCGAAGGCAGTCGCTTAACCAACTGAGCCACCCAGGTGCCCTTAATTGAACCAGTCTTGAAAAAAAAAAATCACCTGATACCCTTGTACAAATGCTACATAAAAGACTATATGAATATACTCAAATTCAATTGCAGATTTTGTATTCTCTTAAATTAGTCATACCTGCAATAGCAGGTTGGTCTGGTAAAAAGATACACAGTTCTGTTATAAACTCCTGAGACTACCTGTAAGACTGAGTAAAAAGAAATTCTATATTTTCTTTCTTTAGAAGAAAAGAAACAGAAAGAAGGCATATTGCTGGAAAATAGTTTAAATGCTTTCTATGTATAAAAATTCACAAGAAGACAAAAATAAATTGTATCAGAGATTACAGAGAAATTCTGAAAGAAAAACATTGCTGTCTTGCATGAGATAAAATACCTATCTTCTGTGATCGCGTTACCTACACATCTGAATGTGAGTGCCTAGTATTCAAAGTCAGGGGCATTTTTGGATTGGGGAATTTTAGTGCAGGGCACAGCGTAGCATCATCTGTAAATAATGCTTAATTAGTTAATACTATTACAGGAGAATAACCATAACCTTAATTCTTTCCCTAACCAAAGAGAAGCATTTTTGAACTTTAAAAGCTCAAATAAAAAAATTTTGGGCGCCTGGGTGGCTCAGATGGTTAAGTGTCTGCCTTTGGCTCAGGTCATGATCCCAGGGTCCTGGGATCGAGTCCCACATCGGGCTCCCGGCTCAGCGGGGAGCCTGTTTCTCCCTCTGACCCTCTCCCCTCTCATGCTGTTTCTTGCTCACCCGCTCTCTAAAAAATAAATAAAATCTTTAAAAAAAAAAAAAAATTTTAGAGCTTAAGTTATTCACATTAATAAATAATCAGATACTGATCTGATTATATTCACTAACAACTAAAAAACCTTTTCTTTTTTTTTTAACTCACAATTTTTCAAATTTGTCTTTGAAGAAACAATTAATAAACCCTTATTCATGACTTCTGAAATATAAGGCTGAAAAAAATAGCTTATTACATGTTGAGTATTTTCAATGTATAAACTACTATATCTGATAGATAGCATCATCAAGGTAAAGGGGAAGATTTTACCTCCCTAAACAAAATTTTTTCAAATACTCTGAAAGTACACATTGGTGACTACCATTTTGTTAAGTACATATTATTCTGATCTATTAATTCATAGGTGTATTTCCAAATGGTCCTCTATTTGATAATACATAGTTAATCTAGTTGTACATAGATGAAAGTACATTCCTTCAATGTATCCTACAATTCTGAATAGGTATTACCAAAATTAGTTCAAATTTTTACAAAGATTTTACTCATATTCTTTATTCTCAGGTTAAATAAATGTTAGATCTACTTCTATGGAAAGTGTTTTTTAATAATTATCTTGTAAAAGTCTAAATTTACTGACGAATTACTCTTATAACTTAGCTAAGGATTGTAAGAAACATTCTATAGTCAGAGTATTTCCATATCAGAAAGAACAATGAAAAAGTCAAAGATGAGATGAGAAACAAGAACTTGTTGATTAATTTTCCAAGATGAAATATAACTAGAAAGCAAGAAAAGTACAGAATTATTTAGTAATGGTTAAAAAAAAAAACCCCAGAAAAACAAAAGGAAAAAAATTAATGATACAACTCTGTGTTCAAGGACTCTTTTTAATGGGTTATAAAAATTGTCAACTACAACTCGTGACACATTTTTCATGACAATCAGTAAATCATGACAGTTTATTTAGTGAAAAATTCTATGCCTGGATTCAAAGTTCAAGACTAATCTAGAAGCCTCTGCCACTGATAGCAGGCCCTAAATATTAATGTGTCAAGAAAAAAGATTAACTTTACATGCAATGTACTGTGGATTTCTGAGTAAGATCTCTTTTCATTTTGACATGCTGATATCCATCTGACCAAATTAAGTCAATCTCATGTCAACTGTTAATTTTAAAATACATAATCCAGAAGCTAGGTCAAAGAACTAAAGATTTCATAGATGATACTTCTGTCAAACAAGTAAACAAACTCCTACCCCCAAAATCTCTAAGAAAACAATATATTCCAACTTCATTTTGGAACAAGTAGTTATGCAAATTTTCCATATTTCAGTGTGAGATAAACAAATATCACATATTTTCCCAATGTAATTAAAAAGGAAAGAAATAAGTACCTCTCCCAAGAGCTGCTCTTCAGCAGCAGGGCTCTCCTCCCCATCACTCTGTGCTACTTGGTCAGAATCTTTAAGAGCCTTTGGTACACAAAACAATTACAAGGGAAGTTGAAGAATGTAACATTAAAAGAATATTAGTGACTAAGAAAGACAAAAGACCCAACCAACAACATTCAGAGCTAGTTTAATCATAAGAAGCAACACTAAGTAAACTGATTTAAGAAATACTATCAGAGGAAAAGCAAAGAGCCATTACTACTAAGACCTTCCTTTTTTTCCTACCAAATGTCCCCCAGGAACAAAGATCTTAACCTTAAGTATCTGAGCAGTCATTGATACTGTTTTTCCTCTTTTGCAAAATTCAAGTACCATCAAGAGAAAGGAATGAATACTCTCTCCCAGCTAAACTTATACTATTTTAAAATGAGAATTCACTTATTAAAATATCTACAATCAGCATTTATTTTTACACTGTAAAGCAATAAAACAGACACATTTCTTAAATTACATTTCCTTCTGTGTTATGACCTAAACCAAATTTTGGAAGGTAGCTATTTTTAAAGGCCTTCTTACCACATCGGGTCCATCCACCTTGTTCAAGGCCAAAGCAATCTGAAATAAAAACAACAACTCACCTACTACATGGAATTCTATTTCAAGGCATATAGCAAATGCTCACCTCTTTCTCCATTTTCATTGGCAAAAATCCACCAAAGTTCAGACTAGGGATGGGGTGTTTAAGGAAAGACTAAAATCTGCTATTCAGTCACAAACCTAACCTCAAAACAAGCACGTTTTCTTCTACTTTCCTTTAAATAACTATAATTAATTTAAAAAATTTTCTTCAAGTACTCACTACTGAAAGAACTGCTATTAGAAGTATTTTGACAATCAGATTCTTTTTCCTCATTTTTGCTATTAGGTATTTAGTAAAACTTTCATATTAACCTTTTACAAACCTATAAAAGTTATAGCACCAAGAAATTCAGACTAGTAATAAAATTAAATATAAAAAAACTAAAGGAATGAGCAAAGACACATAGCCGATAAGCGGTGGGCCTGTGATGTGACATCTTCAACGTGCTTGGCACTGCTCAGAGTATGCAGTATCTAAGCTGTACACCGTATGTGGCAATCTTCAATGCTTCAGAAAACTTCAGTCACTTTCAAAGAACAAAGGGCTAATACAAATTACACAATGAATCTAAAATACCTCCTTCAATGTTTCCAAAGTCAGAGAGTTTTTCGTGCTGTTCATGTCAATATTGTGGAATGAATAATAATGAAGCCCCTCTTTGAGAACAAAAATGTAAAACTGGAATACGACTTTCTCTTTTTAAAAGGGGATCTTTTTCTAAGTTAAAATATTACGTGACTCAGTTGGACTTTTGTTTATTCAGGTTCAGTACAATAAATTGCCCTCGTTCCAAAATATTTACTAGCTATTTGTCAGCTGGACAAACTCCATACAGAGTTTGGGAATGTGGGCTAAAGGCATGAACAGCGAGGGTAGAAAACTGTGGTAATCTGAACCAGTACTCTATTTTTCATCACTTAAGCTGTAGTGAACATGGGGTGGTCTCTAACAGTTCCCTCGTTTTCTTTTCCCCCGGGGCTACTGGTTACACACCCTCTTAAAATCCAAGTGTTATTTCCAATGTTTGAAGTTGATAGCCTCTTATCTTTCAAGACCCAATTCTACCTGATACGACACAGCTCTTTAAATCAAGTTTGGAGTCAAGGTGGTTCTGGCAGTTTTTAAACCCAGGTACAAGGTGGAATTACACATTTAATAATATGTATTTGGAATTCTGGCAACCAAACACAAATTCTTATTAAATATTTATTGAGTGATTTGAGATTATCTGTATAGAAGTTTATAAAAAGAACACTTAGGCTACATAAATATTTTACTTGCATAAGCACAGCCTTTTAACTTTCGCAGAAATTTACCTTCTTTCCTAGGTCTTCTTTTCTGTATCCTAGAAGTTCAAGGTATTTTCCCCGAGAATCATCCTCAAAGTTCACCTTTAAAGAATACATAATCTTGAAATAAAGATCTGCCTTTAAATTTTTTTCTGCCTTTAAATTTTTAATTACTTGATCAAATTCCAAGTAGAATTACTAAAAATTATCAAAAATAAAGTCTACTAAAGTCTACTGTTACCAACGAAAGCTTTCTATATCTATTATGTAGAAGGCTCAGTGTAAGAAAGCACCCCCAAAATAGTTTCCTTTAATAGGTTACCTCTTAAAATAGTAAGCATACTAGTAATTAATTATCCTTGTTGAATAAAGCTTACTTTTTATTTTTTAAGTAAGCTCCATGCCTACTGTGGGGCTTGAACTTATGACCCTGAGATCAGGAGTCGAATGCTCTACTGACTGAGCCAGCCAGGCACCCCAAAGCTTACTTTTAAACTATAATTTTTATAAATACAAGCTAACTCATGTCCAGTGGTCATATGTATGCAAAACATGACACTCTTTGGAACACTCAATGTCCTAAAACTCTTTCCCCAAATTAATAATTACAAAATATAAAATTCTATAATTTTATAATTTAACCTTATTGTATTTAAGATCTCTTTGGAAAATTCAGTATCAAGAAACAGACATTCCAGTGGAGGAAAAATGACCAACCAGAAAACTCTTATTTCCTATTGTCATAAATGCAACTCAGTAAAAGGAATGAGAAATGCCTCCAACCTTTCTCCCCTGTAACTCTTCCCTCTTTTCCCATTTTCCTTAATTGGATGTACTCAGAAATTAAATATTGTTACTATTATGTCGTTTTTCACTTATGAAAAAAGTACTTCATATTAGGCTCTTCAAAGCAGAGAGGAAAGAACTCTTGTCATAAAACTATGGTCATGTGCTCTTCATAAGGTTTCTTTAATGTCATCAGGAAGCTCCTGAACTCATAATCTTGCAATAATTTTTTTCATAAGAACAGACTGAGAATATAATGGGAATAGTTAAATTTGCAGATAACGAAATTGTTTTAATCTCAACTTTACCTTCAAAAAGGACCATACATTTTTCTCAAACTCAGTCTGAGAAGCATCAATCTTTTTCTGACAGTAACTGACAAATCCTTGCGACTGCACGACTTGCTGAAGTTGGTCCGATCGGCTGAGGAATTCCTTTTCTGTCACCACCTGACTGATGAACACAGGGTGTTGCTGTTGCTGCTGCTCAGCTCCCTGCTGGGCCTGTATTCTGACATTCTCAAAGGTAACCAGTTTGCCTCCAAACTATGGAAGAAAAAATGAACAAAGTCAGCTTGAACCACAAGGAGAAGGCTGAAAAACCTGCTAATGGAAAGAACTATGGTCTCACTTTGGATCAAATTAGCTGATACGGTCTCCCATACTCCACAATCTTGACCCCAGCCTTCAATCACTATTCTTCTTCATACCACCTACCTTCTAGATAAAATGTACTATTTACTGTGCCCCACAGTTTCTCACCTACTTGTTTTTACTAACTTCCACATACTCAATGTTACTTCTCTTCAAGGCCCAGGCAAATGCCACCTCTTCCACCTCGGACACCCTCCATATATTATAGATTTCTTTTGATTCAACTACTAGCTTATATGTATTTGCCTCACCTTCTGTTCTGGCTCTAAGTTTTAAAGGGTGGCAGAATATGCCCCTCCAAAATGTGCCATTTGGCACAAGGACTATTTTGAGCTAAGGACTACTTGAAAAACAGCAGGAAAGAAGGGCACCTTGACCTCCTCTTTTCTTCCTGAAAGCAGGAGATGCAACTCCCATGTGAGAGCTGCCCTCTCTATACCAGGGGGAAAGAAACATTCTTATCACCAGAGGGGAGAGAAATCTGTACAAACAGACCTAGTTAAATAACAATTACCTCCCTTTAGTCTCTCTAAATATTTTAGTTACTTTTCCACAACTGCCGTTCTTTTTTCAACCTACTATATAAGCACTTAGATTTTGCCACTTGTTTGTGTTTTCATTTCCCAATGGGGGCCCAGGTATACATAAAAATCTGTATGCTTTTCTCCTGTTAATTTGTCTTATATCAATTTAATTCTCAGGTCCAGGTGAAAACCCCAGGAGGGCAGATGCAAAGTTCTGCCTCCCCTGTACTTATAAGGATTGTGGTTCTGTATCTACTTTATTCTTTTATCTCCTACAGTACCCAGTATCTTGTATATAGCAAGTAAACAGTTACTATCCGATTAATATATCTATACAAATAAATATAGGTAAAGAAGGAAACACAGGACAAAATCTGGTTCTTTATAATCAGTAATTTTTGTATAAGGATTATTGTTTTTATGTAAACTGAAATACCAACAAAACATAAACCACTATCCTTAAGGAATTTAATATGAGAATAAAACTGGACACAACTGGCACCTGTAAGTTCTAAATGAGATGCAGATAATACCACACATCATATGAACTTCACAGCTCAAGGGCAACTGGGTTTCCCCATGTTTAGGGAAGCTGGTGAAAACTGCACCCCCCAGAAGTAAGACCTAAACTGTGTTTCACAAGAGGATTATGCTTATTATTTACTTGGTTCTGTGTAATAATATTATAGTATTATATAATTATAATAATGTAAATGCATGTTAATTGAATTTAAATTTAATTATAAAAATAAAAAAAGCAGCATAAAAAATTATGTAAGTGCTTCTTGTCAGTCATCATTTTTTCAAACCAACCAAAACAAATACGGAAAACTTAAATATCTTAACAACATAAAAATAATGTAATTTACAAAAGTTGGCAGAAATGAAACATTTGGAAAGGAAAAAATTGGAAAAGCTGAAGGAAGTATATAAATGCACTAATTTAATATTGAATAGAAGAGTTTCAATTAGTACCATATGAAGTTGATACATTGAGACACGGATGTTTTGGTAAATTATTTACATTTATAAAGATAATCACAAAAAGAACACATAACCGAAAGATATTTGAGGACACTGACATTCTACCCCTCATGTTCACAGAGAGGGCATTTTCCTTACACTCCGTAAGAGGAACTAACAGAGGAGGAACACTTCCAGCCTTTCTCTGTCCTTCACACTGTCTTGGGAGAGGACTGCCTGCCGTTCTTCAGGAAAGAAATGCAGCATGCTTACATCAGCTCTTCAGGGCTTCTTTTTATAGCTGTCTTCCCGCCTAGAGCAATAGTCCATGTGGATAAGCTGCCTGCACCTTCAAGGAAAGCACTACAGTACCTAGATTTGCCTGTAACTAGGTTAGTAAGGCAGCCTAATACAGACATAAAGCTAAAAACATGTTTATTAAATCAGATCCTGGGGATATAGAGGCAAACGAAACAGCCCAGCTCTCATAGAGTCTTCTATGTTCTAGTTTGTTACAAGGCCCACTGTGATTAGACATCTAAACTGTAGCCTCCAATCTAGCTTATGGCAGCACTAAAGCTGATACTTTGATTCTCCATCTCTCTTACTTGGTTCTAAACTCATATGGGAAAGAGATGAGTGTTATTTATTGTCTTTATAATACTCCAATACTAGCGACTGATACTTTGATTCTCCATCTCTCTTACTTAGTTCTAAACTCATATGGGAAAGAGAAAAGTGTTATTTATTGTCTTTATAATACTCCAATACTAGTGAGGGGAAGGGAAAGACGTTCACTTCTCATTCCTAAGATAAATATATAGTGAACACCGTCTATTTGTCAGGGACCATTCTAGGCACTGGAAACATACCTGTGAACTAGACAGTCTGTCCTCAAGAAGCTTGTATTTGGGGGGATCTTTTCTGCACATTTTGGTTTTCTTTTAAACCTGTACACATACAATTTTATAATAATAATTGTTTTAGTTACTAAGGGAAGGAAGGAACTAACTGGATGAATGGTTAGTATTCAGTAAAAAAAATGGGAAGTCATAAACAAAGGAAAAGATTCCAAGGCAGGAGTAGAGATAGTAGAGAAAACTAAACAGGAGGGATGAGAAGATTAATTAATTAAATCCAAAAAATGGATTTATGAGTGACATAATCAAAGGTCTATCTTAGGAAGATTAATCTAGAGATGTAGTATAGATTGGAGGGGGAATAGACAAGCAATAGACAGGCAATCATATAACAGTTCAGTGTGAAAAGATGGAAGAATTAGGCAGAGTAACAGCAAAGTTAAAGGAAGAATTAAATCCAAGAGATTTATAAAGAGAGCAATATAAGAGATCGAAAAAATATAAGAGATTGAAAAAAGTTCTGAGCTTGACTAATAGACGAATGATAGTAAGAACTCAATAGTAACTACAGAGAAGATCATTCATTCAGTTTCGATAAAGGTGAATACGTATAATTCTATGATGTGTATAAATTCTGTTATGATGATGGAGAAGCTGAATAATAAAAGCTTTTTTAAAATTTTTATTTTTTAAGTAATTTCTCCCCCAATGTGGGGCTTGAACTCATGACCTCAAGATCAAGAGTCACACGCTCTACCGACTGAGCCACGAGGCGCCCCAAATAATATAAGTTTAGTACCTCAGTTTTGGGCATTATTACCAAGAGACTCACTCTCATCATTATGTACAGTAGGCATCTGATTAGACTGGCAGGAGAACAGCTAAAATCTTTATAAGTGTAAGATTAGACAAGTTATTAATTTCTCTGCTCCTTTCTATCTACAAAATGGGGGTAATAGTGGTAGCTATTTTATAAGAGTTGTGAGAATTTAATGAGTTACTATATGCAAAATGCTTAGAACAGTGGCTGGCACACAGTAAATAAATACACTTTAGCTATTAATATTACTAACGAAGTTTTATTGTACCTGTAGGTTGTATGAAGAAAGTAACCCAACACTGGACAGGTGGACTCTTCTATGCAAGACTTAAAAACAGTAGTGAAATTGAAAATATTTAGGAAAGGACTTTATTTCTTCTTTCTGGTCTATAGGAATAACCAAAGTTTTCTAAGCTGAAGTTTGAGGACATTAATATGGCAATGATATAGATATAATACCAAAGTACAGGCAACAAAAGCAAAAATAGACAAATGAGTCTTCTACACAGCCAAGGAAATAATCAAAAGAGTAAAAAAGCTACAGAATAGGAGAAAAATATTTGCAAATAATTTATCTGGTAAAGAGTTAACATTCAGAATATATAAAGAATTCCTACACCTCAATAACAAAAAACCCCAAACAACCTGATTAAAAAAATGGGCAAAAGACTTGAACAGACATTTCTCCAAAGATGACATACAAATGGCCAACAGATACATGAGAAGATGCTCCACATCACTAATCATTAGGAAAATGCAAATCAAACCACAATTAGATATAATTTCATATCTATTAGGATGACTGATATCTAAAAAACCAGAAAATAACACGTTACTGAGGATGTAGAGAAATTAGAACCCATGTGCACTGTTGATGGGAATGTAAAATGGTGCAGCCACTATGGGAAACAGTATGGAGGTTCCTCAAAAATTAAAAATAGAATTAACATATAAGATCCAGCAATCCCACTTCTGGGTATATACCCAAAAGAATTGAAAATAGGATCTCAAAGACATAATTGCACACAAATGTTCTTTGTAGCATTATTCACAATAGCAAGAAGTGGAAGCAACTTTAATGTCCATTGATAAATTAATGGATAAAGAAAATGTAGACTATTATTCAGCCTTTTAAAAGTAGGAAATCTTGTCATACACAGCAACATGGATGAACCTTGAGGACATTACGCGATGTGAAACAAAACAATCACAAAAAGACAGATATTGCATGATTCCATTTATATGAGGTATCTAAAGTTGTCAAACTCATAGAAACAGAAAGTAGAATGTGATTACCAGGGGCTAGGGAAGGGAAAAATGAGCAGTTGTTCAACTGGAAAAGAGTTTCAGTTCTGCAAGATAAAAAAGTTCTGGAGATCTGTTGCACAACAAGTGTATATAGTTAACATACTGTACTGTACACTTAAAAGGGGTTAAAATGGTAAATTTATGCTACATGTTTTTTAACATAAAAAAGAAAAGAAATTGGCAATTAAAAAAAAAAGCTAGAAGGAAGGAATAAAGAGAAGGAAGGACGATACACAGATATACCTTCCTCCAAAGAAAAAAAGAAAAAAAAGACTGAAGGAAGGAGAGATAGAGAAGGAAGATAAGTTTAATAATGGGATGGACAGTGTGAAGGTTGCACAACAATGTAAATGTACTTAATGCCACCGAACTGTATATTTCTAAATGGTTAAAATGGTAAATTTTATGTTATTTATATTTTACCACAATTTAAAATAAAAACAAAAAAGAGAAGGTCCCATTTTTCCTGAGAAACCATTTTGAATGATGAAAAACCTACCGACACATCTCAATCTTCTTCCATCTGAGTGATCCTGTAAGAACACTTTACTATGGGAAGTCCTTTGTGCTTATGGACCATAAAAACACAAATCCACCTACTGAAAAGGAAGCACCAACAGGTCTTCGGATCCACTTGGGTGGCTTCTTCAGAGGCAACACTATATTATGCTGAGCAGTCTGCTGAGGAATTTGTAATGGAGGAAGGGGCTGTCCTGTGCCAAAGGGATCAAGATTTCCAAAAGAAGATGAAAGCTAAAAAATATAATAACATGAGAATTTGTAATTTATATGAGATTATGTTACATGTTTTCAAGTTATACCCATGAAATATTTTTATCACAATTATCCAATTAAGCAGTAGCACTGATTAGTGAAGTCATTTTCAAAATAATTAAACAATAAGATGGTATTTTTCAAATGTTATGATTGACAATTTTAACACTTTCTATTACCTTGTCAACTTGTTTCTGCCTTAAGCCATCTGCGCTCCCACCCATGATAGAATAAACACTGATACGCCCATCAAAGGAAGCAGCTGATAAGACAGCAGGATTTCTGGGACACCACTGAATATCAAAGCACCACTGCGTGTTGGTGGGAAGTTCATATAACACCTAGGCAACAACAACAACAAAAGTCAGAAAATGGTATAGCCACTTTATAGCCAAAACACCCGAATTAATATGATCAACATGTGCAGCTTAAACGATTCCTTTAAGAAAGTATGTTGAGCCAGGAAAAACAACTGTAAAAATTTGTTTAAAGTACAAAAGGAGTCCACTATGGTGATCTATTATGATAAAAATGAATGCTTCTTCAAAATTTTGACCAGATTTAGAATAAGTACGTATTAAAAACTAAGGTTTTTCTGTTTTATTGAAGTGGTAGTAGCGGGTGCATCTGAAAGACCAGAACAAATTAGAATCAGCTTGTTAAAACTCTAAAAGATAATGGTCTCCTGCCCAACTATTTTTGCTTGCCAAGATCCAAACAACCATATTTAGGCTATCTGAAGACCACATTTAAAAAATAGCCTCAAGAAGGAAGAATTCACTGAGAAATTTGATTTTTAGTCAAGCAAAAACATGTATACATCGTTTGTACTACTGCAGAATGGAAACCGATTCAGCATAAACAGTTTAGAAGGAAAATATGGAAAAACTATAAAAAACGGTTGGTATAAAACCTTTACAATGCAATAATAACTGCTAACTCAAAGTTAGTGTGATGATAACTGATGCACCTAAAGAGCATAGGTTTTACGTATTTTTTTTTTTTAAGATTTTATTTGAGAGAGAGAGAGAAAGGGCACAAGCATGAGCAGGGGGAAGGGCAGAGGGAGAGGGGGAAGCAGACTCTGCTGACCAAGGAGCCTGGCGAAGCAAGGAGCCTGATGGACTAAGGGCTAGATGCAAGGACCCTGGAAGCAAGACCTGAGCCGAAGGCAGATGCTTAACTGACTGAGCCACCCAGGCACCCTGGTTTTATGGCTTTAAGAAGTCAAATTATCTTAACGTGGACTTTGTGGGATAGTTTAAATGTTTTATTTTTTAATTTTTTTAAAGATTTTATTTATTTACTTGAGAGAGAGAGAGCACATGAAAGAGAGGAGGGTCACAGGGAGAAGCAGACTCCCTGCCGAGCAGGGAGCCCGATGCGGGACTCGATCCCGGGACTCCGGGATCATGACCTGAGCCGAAGGCAGTCGCTTAACCAACTGAGCCACCCAGGTGCCCCTTAAATGTTTTATTTTATAAGAAAACAGAATTAAGTGAAAAGGTACCTAGCCTACTCATCTTTAAGGCTTAACTGGTTGATAAGACTCATTATTCATGTTATTTAAACCACTGTTCTATTCCTAATTTGCATTTGAATAAAAATCTACTAAACTTTTTAGTTGCAGCATGTACTAAAAGTTTATTCCTTCAAAGTCCAAGCACACACAACTAATCATATGCAAAATTCATTTTATCAAATCATATAACTGAGGGGCGCCTGGGTGGCTCAGTTGGTTAAGCGACTGCCTTCGGCTCAGGTCATGATCCTGGAGTCCCTGGATTGAGTCCCGCATCGGGCTCCCTGCTCGGCAGGGAGTCTGCTTCTCCCTCTGACCCTCCCCCCCTCATGCTCTCTCTCTCTCTCATTCTCTCTCTCAAATAAATAAATAAAATCTTTAAAAAAAAAAATCATATAACTGAGAAAATTAGAACAGTAATTTCCATGATTTTGAACTCCCTTGGGAGGGTACAGTATAAAATGCAAGATTTTATTATTTGGTCTACAAACATATGAGGCAAAACTTACTACTTTAATTTTTTTCTCCTATCTCCCCTAATTAATGTTTCTATATTCTTCTATATATTACTGCATCCGAAAACTTTAAACCACAAATCAAATAACAAAAGTGCTTGTTTCTACTTTAATATTATACATTAAAACCTACTGAAGGTGGCTCAGATGGTTAAGCGTCTGCCTGGGTCCTGGGATGGAGCCCTTCATTGGGCTCCATGCTCAGCGGGGAGTCTGCTTCTCCCTCTCCTTCTGCCCTTCCCCCCAACTGGTGCTCGAGCTCTCTCTCTCTCTAATAAATATATAAAACCTTAAAAAAAATAAAATAAAAACTTAAAAAACAAAAATCTATGGCCTCTTGCCCAATACTGAAAAAGAGGGAAACCATTCAACTAAGAAAAATAATTTTTAAAATACTTAGATTTTTTTTAGCCCATTAATTTAATCCAAAGCAATTAAAAGTAATTAAGTTATATTTATATAACATTGATATTGAAGAAGAGGTAAAATTTCGCACATCTAAATTTCTATGGGTAGAACATATGACAAGTATTGTTAAGTATATTCCTGCTGTATAGTTCAGAAGAGAAATTAACATACATCTACTGATTTCCAAAATCAGAGAGGATCTTCAGGAATGGTAAAGCAGGAAAAAGACCCAAATCTTGAACACTCCTGCTTTAAAAGCACTGATTTTCAGAGATCACATGTTAAATAAATCAAACCAAGTACTTCTGAGTGTAGGTAAACACCTTTTATTAGAAATGGGGGGTAGGGGATTACTAATTTCAAATAAGCTATTTCAATGGCTGATTTTCTTGGATAAAACAGGTGAGCTTAAATAATATTCCTGATAAAATCTCTCCTAGATTAACATTTCACACATACCTCTATCTCCATGTCCTTAATTATATTAATGCACTAAAGAATCCATATGGAAAATTTCTTATTCAGCTAGAGAATAAATATTACAGTAGCTATAAGTCTGAGAAATATTTCCTCCTCATACCTCTCCTGTGTTTGGGTTGGAGCAGAGAATCTTAGCATCTTTTCCGCAGCTCAGCAACAATTCAGGATCTGCCATGCTCCAAGCAATTGCCAAAATCCCCCTAGGTAAAACACAAGATGAAGAAATTTTTAATCTTGAGAAAATCAAGTCTCCAAATGATTCCTGTCTAGGCTCTGGAGACACATGCTGCTAACAGAAGCATAATTTCATATAATCTTTACAGAAAGCAATTTAGGAATGCGTATGTTCTTTGATCACTATAAAGATGTTCAATATCCTCTCAGAATCAGGAAAACACAGTATAGGAAAAGAACCCAAATTGTTTAAGACTGCCTTTTGTTTCCAATATTTTATTTTTAAAAAGTTAAAATCTTTGTGAAAATTATAAGGACAGTATGATGTACAGCCTTATACTCCTCACTTTGACTCATTGGTTTGGCCACATTTACTTTATGTGGTTTTCTCTCTCTCTCCATATACACATTGACCATTGACCAAAAAAACAATCACAGCATTCTTCTGCATAACCATAATACAATTATATACTGAAAATATTTATTACTTACATACAATATTTAAATATATATAGTCCATATTCAAATTTCCCCAACTGCATCAATAATATATTTTCTTTTTTTTTTTTTTAAAGATTTTATTTATTTGCCAGAGAGCGCGTGAGAGAGCGCAAGCAGGGGGGAGTGGCAGAGGGAAAGGGAGAGAGAGAAGCAGACTCCCCGCCGAGCAGGGAGCCCAACGTGGGGCTCGATGCCAGGACTCTAAAATCATGACCCGAGCCGAAGGCAGAAGCTTAACGACTGAGCCACCCAGGCGCCCCAGTAATATATTTTCTAACTGCTCCCCCTTTAGAATAGAATCATACATGTCAAGAATTTCAAGCATGTCAAGCATATCAAGAATGCCTTTTATTTTTATTTTTTAAAATTTTATTTACTTATTTGACAGAGAGAGACACAGTGAGAGAGGGAACACAAGCAGGGGGAGTGGGAGAGGGAAAAGCAGGCTTCCCGCTGAGCAGGGAGCCTGATGCGGGGCTCAGTATGACCTGAGCTGAAGGCAGACGCTTAACGACTGAGCCACCCAGGAGCCCCAAGAATGCCTTTTAAAGAAATTCATACATATTTAATATCACATTTTAAAGAACATTTAGGTTCTTACTAAATATTAAAGACCAAAAAAATCACAGAATTATAGAGCAGGGAAGGACCTTAAATATCATCTAATCCACCTCTTGCATATATTATTAGGAGAAAATTGAGAAATCAGAGAGTTGATTTGCTCCTGCAACTCCTGCTAAATTATGATCATACCTAAAATTGGCAGTAGAATATAGAGTTAAGAGCACAGATTCTGGGATCAGAATGTTTGGATCAGAAGTCAGCACTTGACTAGTTATATGACCTAGGTCAAGTTTACCTTGCTGAGCTTCAATTTCCAATTTGTAAAATGGGTTAATAGTATCTACACCATAGGCTTGTTATGAGGGTTAACTGACTTAATATTTAAAGTTCTTGTACACTTTACATGTTATACAAATGTTAGTTGTCCTCCCACTATAATGTAAACTCCCCGAAGGCAGGGATTTTTATGTTATATCACTGAATCTTAGTATAGTGCTTGGTACAGAGCACACGTTCAGTAAGTATGTGCTGAATGAATGAACAAAACCTTATCTAACATGGAAAAAATATTAAAACTTATCAGAATCATCCCTTCTTCACTAAAAAGCTGATTGAAGCATAACATCTAAATAGGATTACATTTTTACTGGACTCTTTTCTCCTTTATAAGAAGCTAAAGGAGAGGTCACAAACTTTAAGACTTCTCAGTGTGCAAATCCACTACCCAGTGGGAAAATAGGATTTAAAGCTTTAGTCTACATATCCCTAAATAAGAAAGCCCAAAAGTACTCAGAAAATATTGTAACATTAAAACGGATTTGTTTCTTGTTTCGAACTGTCGAACAAATACATATAAACTCCCTGGGTACCTGAAAATCAATGTTAGGAAACATGCCAAATTACAATTAAATTTAATGCTACCGAACCTAACATGAGAAAATTTGCATATCTTTTAATTTTTTTTAATTTTAATTTTTTTAAAGATTTTTTTAAGTAATTTCTACACCCAAGTGGGGCTCGAACTCACAACCCCTCACTCTATCGACTGAGCCAACCAGGCACCCCACTCATATCTTTTTAGAGAATGTGCACATTTATTACAATTAAAAGCAGGAGCACCTGCATGGGGCACAGCTGGTTAAGGGTCCAACTCTTGGTTTCAGCTCAGGTTGTGATCTCAGGATTGCGAGAACAAACCCCAAGTTGGGCTCTGTGCTCTCTACTTGAGATTCTTTCTCCCTCTCCCTTTGCCCCTCCCACTTGTGCACTCTCTCCCTCAAAAGTAAGTAAATCTTAAAAAAATAATAAAAAATTAAAAATTAAAAATTAAAATAAAAGCAGAATAATCTAAATTTCTATGTTTTTTTTTTTTTAAAGATTTTATTTATTTATTTGAGAGAGAGAGACACAGCGAGAGAGGGAACACAAGCAGGGGGAGGGGGAGAGGGAGAAGCAGGCTTCCCGCGGAGCAGGGAGCCCGATGCGGGGCTCGATCCCAGGACCCTGAGATCATGACCTGAGCCGAAGGCAGACGCTTAACGACTGAGCCACCCAGGCACCCCTATTTCTAAGTTCCTATTTTAATTTAAAAGCATAGAAAGCATAGAAAGGGGCGCCACCCCTATTTCTAAGTTCCTATTTTAATTTAAAAGCATAGAAAGCATAGAAAGGGGCGCCACCCCTATTTCTAAGTTCCTATTTTAATTTAAAAGCATAGAAAGCATAGAAAGGGGCGCCACCCCTATTTCTAAGTTCCTATTTTAATTTAAAAGCATAGAAAGCATAGAAAGGGGCGCCACCCCTATTTCTAAGTTCCTATTTTAATTTAAAAGCATAGAAAGCATAGAAAGGGGCGCCTGGGTGGCTCAGTCGTTAAGCGTCTGCCTTCGGCTCAGGTCATGATCTCAGGGTCCTGGGATCGAGCCCCGCATCGGGCTCCCTGCTCCGCGGGAAGCCTGCTTCTCCCTCTCCCCCTCCCCCTGCTTGTGTTCCCTCTCTCGCTGTGTCTCTCTCTGTCAAATAAATAAATAAAATCTTTAAAAAAAAAAAAAAAAAGAAACTTAGAAATAAAACAAACTTTTTAACTGTTGCTTGTCACTGAATGTTATGGAGTATTTTGACCCTAATAAAGATCAAACTGGATAATGTCAAGAGTAAAGTGTGGTGGTATACTGGAATTTTAATCTATTAATTATAATGTGAAAAAAGTAGTGGAATATCCTTTATCACATTTTCGTACTGTTAGGATATGAATTGGCTACCATTTTTGGGAACAGAAAATCAGATGATTATTGCTTCAAATAAAAACCATTTATAGTAACTTTTACAAGATAGTGACAAAATAGATTCCTGAATTTAAAAATAATTATCTGATAATTCAAAATAATAAGTAAATGTGTTTTTAAAAATAAAGAAATCAAGTTCCTTGGAAGAGCAGCATGATACCTGGCATGGTTTTCCAAGACACGGAGTGGAGAGGAAGCAAAGCGAAGATCCCACATCTGGACCACTGGTAATCTATCATCCTCAGAGGCAAGGACCATCTGAGTCGCAACATCAGGATGCCACGCCAACCCAGAGCAATGCATCTGCAGATAGTTAAGGCTCACAATGTATCAATCCTATTACTTTATGAAGAGCCAAAATGAGCTTGAGGAACATGCCTTTGTTGAAACAAATAGTAGAAAACATCAGTTCAGGCTTAGTTTATTAAAAAAAAAAAAACAACAAAAAACAAAACCTAAAACCATTAAATTTTGAATCCTGACAGCTATCTCCAGAGCCTGCATTTGGAGCCTTCAAGATGTGATGTCTCTTTAAAACTATTAAATTTTATTAAACAGCCTTAAACAGTACTCTTAAAAGTAAAAAGTTTAAATGTTTTCAGTTCATCTCAGGGTCTTAGGATTGCTCCCATGTCGGGCTCCCCACTGTGTGTGGGGAGCGTCTCTTGTCTCTCTTCCTCTGCCCCTCCCCCATGGAGCTTGCTCGCTCTCTCTCTCACAAATAAATCATTTTTTTAAAAAGATTATAACAAAAAAAAAAATCCACACCTTTCCTCTATTTTGTCAAAAAAGTCAAGACAAAATGTCTAAAGCAACAGGTACCACTTAAATTTTCACATGGAATAAATTAACAGTATTACTGAGAATTACCTGGACATTCAGATCCTATTAAATGTTCCAGACGATAATGGAAATGCTTATTGTATGCTTTATTCAATTAAAACTTGTCTTAAAATTCCTAATTCATTGAAAAACAACATCCTGAAGAAATATTTTTTTAAATAGTTTTTTTGTGGTTATTGTTAAATTATATATGTATGCTCTGATTTAGGCAAACTTGTTTTTAAAAATGTCAAACTAAATAATGTAATTAAAAACTAACAAAATGAGGCCCTTAATTATGTCTAAAATATTTTATAGCACATTATGACATAGTATTAAGGAATTTGTTAGGTCAAAAATTTAATGTGTTAATACAACTACATCTACTAGGCAAACGGGAGAATATTAGCTCACTTTAGCAGTACCTAATCAGAAGAGATGAAGCCAGGAGTATGGAAACTACAAGTTCACAGTCATACAATTATTAGCTGGAAAAATGTGTACATTCTAGAGAAAGCTAAAGATAAAAAGTTGCTATAATGCTTTGAAACAGCTAGTAAAGTAAAAACAACCAGTATATCATGGAATAAGGTATTTAATTAACAATCTCTCTCTTCATCATTAACAATATCCAACATGGTTTATTAGAAATTTTATTATCTTCCCCAAGGAAAAACCTCATTCCAACATGATTGGTCCATGAAAAGACAGGATTTGACTTTACAAAAATTTGATTTGTTGTCAACACTGACAAACAATATAGAAATACGTACAGGAGAAACATAGCATGTTTCTGTATATGACAAATCAATCATATACTTACCCTGTTACTATGGTCACTAACTTTGATGATAGGTTCATTTTTCCTAAGATCCCATACAGTGGCCCGGCCACTGGGACTGGCTGATGCCAAAATATGCTGAACTTGTCTGTTCCATGCAATGCAGCTGATATCTTCTGGGGGCTAAAAGGAAGAAACTACTAAAAACCATTTCTCAGTTATGATCAAATTTAAGTACAAAATCTGATCCTTCTTTTTAAAAAATGAATTAATTAAAATCTGATCTATTCATTCCATAAATTTTTTTATATTTCTAAGTTCTCAATAAATATAATACAATTTAGAGCTCAGGTATATGCCAATTCAAGTATTTTACCTTGTTTAATATTGTCTCATTCACCAGGCATTTATTAAGCTCTTGCTACAAATCAAGCACTTTTTCTTAATTTGCAACTGCCACAAGGTAGATAATTAACTACAAAGTAGACATTGATAAGTATGATGGACAACTAGGCAGAGCAAAACTTATAGCCTAGGGGCGCCTGTGGCTCAGTGGGTTAAGCGTCCAACTCTTGGATTTCAGCTCAGGTCATGATCTCAGTCAGGGTTCTGAGACTGAGCCCCACGTCAGGCTCCGCACTCAGCGGGGAGTCTGCTTGGGATTCTCTCTTTCCCTTGCCCTCTGCCCTTCAACCCCATGTGCTCTCTCTTTCTCTCTCAAATAAATAAATAAAATCCTTAAAAAATAAATAAATAAAAATAAATGGTAGATCATATGCTGTCATTATACTACCTCTAAGATGGCCAGAATGTTGGGGCCCATTATAATGGCTACTCAATTTGAGTAGTCTATATAACATAAACTTCAAGGAGGCAAGTGGAAGACTGTTCTTTCTTAATTTACAGAAATAAATAGGAAAGGGGTTGAGTTGTTTTTTTAAAAGATAAGTTTCCTTTCTAGTCTATGATTTTTATTCTAAGGTGAGATATCGTCAAAATACTATACAACACAAAATATTATACTATATAAAATACTGTATCTAAAAAAAATTATCAGACTTGTCTATTTTATTCATTACTATATGTCTAGTACATCAAACAGTATCTGGTGGTAGGCACTGAATAAATATTTGCTGTTGAAGGACTCATTGATACTTTGAAAAACACATTTACTAATACTTTGCTATACTGAAGGAAAATCAGTAACATCTAAACACTGATTTTAAACAAATATATTTTGTGTGAAAAAAATGAAATAAATAAGTGTTGAAGAACCAGTTTTGGTTCTTTTGATCACATCACAATCAATGCAATACCTGTGTTTTGGCTCCTGGTGTCATTGGAGTTGCAAAATTGTTGAGATCCCAAATGTAGATTTCAGATTCATTAGCACCAGAGGCTACCAGATTAGTCTGCAATAAGAAATAATTAATAATGAAATAGCATTTATGAATAATTAAGAGAACTCTGAGTAACTGTTCAGAGATAGACAGCTCTATCAGTTTTAGGGCATACAACTTTTCTATTTAATTAAAAAAACAAAACTCATGAATTCCTAAATGCTATGGATAATAATCTGAAACTGCAATAGTTTTTCAGAGAAGCATGTTATAAAATTCTATTTCACTAAAAAGACAGTAGGTCTACTGGCATTATAATATAAGAGATTAAAAAATAATTATATGGATAAATTCTCAAACAATCATGCAACCATGTGGGGATTATCATTTGTGCAGGAAGGGGATCTGATTGTGAGAGAGAGACAAAAATAGGCAAAACCAATTATTGCTTTCAGATAAATAACTGAATCTTAAAATAATGGCATCTATCTCCGGATACTTCAAAGCCAGCTTCTGGAAAACCTCTTGTCTTAAATCCTCATGTCTTTCTAGTTCATTTACACTCAGTCTTGTTCTGGGTGGCAGTATTTCTAGGTTCTCTCTGTTGCATACCTTTAGGGTCAAAAAGACCCTAAAACTGTGATAGGAAGTACAGGAAGATAATGGGTTTCATATACTGGCTTTCATTCTTTATTATTCACTCTCATAAATTCTTCTCTGATCAACTGACATATAACTATGAAAACAGAGGAATTCTATGGTTGGAGTCACCTATAACACAAGACACTAACCAAGAAGCAGCTGCTGTTTAAACTAATTAACAAAGGAACTAACTATCTAATCTAAAGAGTAGGCACCATAAACTATGGAAAAGAAGTTCAGGTTGTATTTCTATACCCTAAGTATTTATTTATAATACAAGAAAAGTAACTATTTTAAACTTCGAGATAATATTCATGTTTTGGTCGTTATGCTCTAATATCCTATTAACTCAAGATCTTTGCTAACCATTACATTTATATAATTAATATTCAGTAATGTTTATGATGGCAAAAGTAGACTGCCTGACTCTTCGTTGCCAGATCCCCTCCATGGAGTTATTATCGTTTACCTTGATCCCAACTCTGAACCCTCCATTCTTCAAAAAATACACTCACTCATCAACCTGCACAGGCACACATTTTTAGCTTTTAATTCCAAGACTGAGGCATAGCAGATTCATATGCTTATTTCAAATAAGCAGTATGTATCTCAAGAATTATGAATAAACGTCAAAAGTCTAACCTGGAAAATATTCACATCCAAGGCTCTTACTGGGCCGGTATGCTTGTCATTTTGGGCAATCACAACTTCCTTGTCTCCAGCTATAATTTTAGAAGGATCATAAAGAATAATATTTCCATTTTCACCACCTGCAATCAGAACTCCAGAGACATTCCCTTTGGAATCCATCTTATGAGGCCCCCAAATCAACTTGTGGTACCTTTAAGAGAAAATGAGTAAATAACTGATTTAAGTCAAATAGTTATAGAAAAACATTTGAAATTATATATTCAATTCCATGTTTTCATAAATAAAAACATTGCTTCTCCTCTATTCCTGGTAACCGTGCATGACTTGGTGAAACGGCATTTTAGTTTTTATTTATATTCATATGTGCATATTTGATTTTATAATCCTGAAGAGTAAAAGCTTTCTGGTAGAGGTAATATAATGTCAAAAAGTATACTTGATTTGTGTATCAAAAGATATGGACTTAAGAATGGTTTTACCATTTAGAAACTGTGAGACCCTGGACAAGTTACTGAATCTTCCTAAGCTGCTTTTGGTTCATCTGTAAAACAGCTCTAATCAACCACTTCCCTTGATATTATTTGACTATAGAAGTACTCACTGACAAGGTCTGTTAAGCAATAGAGGTGTTAAAGGAGGTATATAACATTTTCTAAGAAAAGTAATGTATTCCAACAGTGGAAAAGTGACATCAAAATTATGTTTATTATGGTAAGTACCCCCACTGGTGGAGAATAAAGATTCGAAATATGAAGGTGGCATGGAAGTATACAATGACACAAATGGTGGTGAGTAGGAAAACTGACAGACAAAAGGTATTTGAGGTTCCCACCACAGTGGGAGAGCTCTGAAAACTATGAGAGGTCCCATGAGATTCCATGATTTGAGCTATGCGCTGTTTGCTAGAGTACAATCTCTTCACCAAAATCTGCCAAGCTACTGAGACAATAAAGCATATTTTACTACTCAAATGAAAGTGTCTTTTTTCTGCATTATGATACGATGTTAAGTACTTGGAAAGATGACCCAAATACCTACTGTATCAGAAATCATGTCAACAAAAATCTTTGTGAAATATATTTCTAAATATAGATAGGTACAATGAAAAAAATAACCTACCATTCAGAGATAATCACTTTTAACACCTTAATATTCATCCAACTACTCCTTTTTTAAGCCATACCTATCCTTTTTTTGTAAACAGTTGAGAAAAAGGAGATAAAAGACAGTATGTCTACTATACCATGAGGAAAAAAACTACTAGAAAATTGAGGCTCTCCTTCCTATCCTACACATGTCAGTTGGCAATAAAAAAGTCAATAGAACATACAGACCCTTCTTTTACTTCCATAGAAATTCACTCATATACTTTTTCACAAAATATTTCATGTCATTGATGGCATTCCTTGCAGTTTCTAATAACAACATATTTATAGACAAACTAGGCATCAACCACAACATAATAACCACAACCATAAGTAATGTGAATTTAAGATTCATCAATCTCATACCTATGAGAAGAAGAGAAGGTGGCACAAGATTTCATATCCAAGGATGGATCAGAAAGATCTAATTCAAATATCTCAAGGGAAGCACTGGTACTAAATGTTGCATCCAATTGTTGAGCAGATGTTCCTACGGAAAATACATTTATGGTAACTACAATGCAAAAATAAAAGACTCAGAGAAAACCACACAAAACAGAAATTAAATGCATGTTTTCCAATGATCTCACTCACGAATGCTCCATTAGTGACTAACATCTCAGGATGCATGTCATTGAACAGATGCTTAAATTACTATAGCAATGAGATTCTGATACAAGGCTTGGAGATGATGTTTGTGAGAGCAGATAGTGCAGATAACTTTTTAAACCTGTAGATATTTTAAAAGCTCTCTGTAAAAACAGTCTCTTGATTTACTATACCTGCTTATAGTCATAAATGTTGTAACTCTTTTTATATAAAAATGCTAGCATCAAAATTGTTCTTCATTCAAACTGATACTAACTTTTTTTTACATGTTATCTCTTGTGCTTAATAGTGGAGGAATAAAGATGAAACATAATTCTTATGAAGTGAGGAAGACACTATAAATGTAATATGATTTTTTTAAGGATTTTATTTATTTGAGAAAGAGTGTGTGTGTGTGTGTGCGCGTGCGCACATGAGTGAGGGAGGGGCAGAGAGAGAGAGAGAGGGGGAAAAGCAGACTCCCTGCTGAGCAGGGAACCCGATGTGGGGCTCAATCCCAGGACCCTGGGATCATGACCTGAGCCGAAGGCAGGCACTTGACTGACTGAGCTACCCAGGCGCCCCTATCATGATTAATGCTATGATGAACAAGGTGCTAAAGGGAACGCAGAGGAAGGTCATTAAACTCAGCTGAAAGGGAGGATGGAGTTATCTTGTTAGGGAAGGAGAAGCTTTCTAGAAGAGATGAAGCTCGAAATGAGTTTTAAAGGACAGGTATGAATAAACCAAATGTGGAAAAGAAGAAATTAAGTGACTCATACTATCTTCTCTCTGTTGAACTTACCTGTAGCTAGGTAAATGGGATGATTCTGGGCAGGGCTCCAGGCCTGCATGGCCGTACGGTCTACTTCCTTTAACTTCATCCTGCTAAAGAGAATATTTTACATAGAAATATATTGAACATGTAACCTAGAACACAAACATTTTTTACATAGAAATATACTGAACCAACCACTTCTTCATTAGTCCAAATGCCAATAAATCAAACTGGTCTAGGTATCATTTGGTGGGAACAGTCAATATTAGAAAGAAGAAAAACTTGTTAAATTATTTTGAGACAAATATAGGGCTTTTCTAATTGTTTACAAATTATAGTCCTTCAACTGAAAAATCAGTCTGGAAAAAAACTTAAAAAAAAAAAAAACCACAATATAGGGTAGTACCTGAGGGATTAATTTTCCTACACAATATACTTCTCAGGTGAGGATGGGTGACAGTGTATCAGACTAAGAGAAAGCACACAATAAACAAGGTACATCTTCCTGGATCAGGATTACTAAGTGACTAAGAGCAGTTTTAAAAATTAATTTTAAAGGCTAATTACAGAGAAGAATATAGTAAGCCTACAGATTTTAAAGATAAATTTAGCAGAAATTTTAAGAAGCTGGTCACTCTAAGCTACAATTCCACACACCACTAGTTTATATATTCTCTGTTAAAGTTACTCCGGTATAAAAATTCAGCAAGTACTGTGTTGTACCTTTAAAAAAAAACTTTGTTATTGTACATAAATACATTCACATGGCACAGTATTCCACTGTAAGATGTACCATAATTTACTTACTTAGTTCACTACTGGTGAACACGTGAGTTGTTTTTAATCTTTTGCTATTTTTACAAACAATGCTGAAATAAATAGCCATATCTACATGTTATTTCATTCGTGGGCCAGGATAGCTATAAATTTCCAGAAGTAAAACTGCTGGGTTAAAGATAAATTCAATTTTAATTCGGACGGTTATTGCTAAGTTGCCCTCCAGGATATCTGTACCTTTTCACACTCCCCTACAGCCTTACTAGAGTAACACTTTTAGATTTTTACCAATGATAGGTGAGAAATGTTTACTCTGAGTAGTTACAATCTGCATTTTTCATGCCATAATGTTGAGCATCTTTTTTTATGGTTATGGGTCATCCATTATTTCCTTCTCTGTCACCTTTTCTGTCTATTCTTGTCTATGTTACTTGCCTATTTTTTTATTGAGTTGTCAGACTTTATTTTGGTTATGGGTTTGTTTGTTTTTTACATTTCACAAGATTTTGATTTTTTAAAAAATAGATTTTATTTACCAGAGCAGTTTCAGGTTCACAGAAAAACTGAGTGAAAACTACAGAGTTTTGGGCGCCTGGGTGGCTCAGTCGGTTAAGCGACTGCCTTCGGCTCAGGTCATGATCCTGGAGTCCCTGGATCGAGTCCCACATCGGGCTCCCTGCTCAGTGGGGAGTCTGCTTCTCCCTCTGACCCTCCCTCCTCTCATGTACTCCCTCTCTCTCTCAAATAAAAATAAATAAAATCTTTAAAAAAAAAAAAAGACTCTTTTTAAAAAAAAAAAAAAGAAAAGAAAACTACAGAGTTTTCACACACCTCCCTACCTCCTCCCCGCCCCTCCTCCGCTCACCCCTACCCCAGCCTCTCCCACCATAAACTGTCCGGCACCACAGTGGTACATTTGTTGCAGCCCAACCTATATTGACACATCATTATCAAGCAAAGTGCATGATTTACGTTAGAGTTCACTCTTTGGGTTTTCTATGGGTTTTGACAATCAAATAATGACACATTCACCCACCCAAATCCACCCATCCACAGAGTATCATTCAGAAGTTTTCCTGCCCTAAAAATTCTGTGCTCCACCTCTTTATCCCTCTCCTCCATCCCTCCTCCTCCCTCCTGGCAACCACTGATCTCTTTATTCTCTCTATAGTTTTGCCTTTTCTGGAATGTTATTTAGTTATAATTATATAGTACATAGCCTTTTCAAATTGGATTCTTTCACTTAGCAATAGGTATTTAAAATTCCTCCCTGTCTTTTTGTGACTTGGTAGCTCGTTTCTTTTTAGCACTGAAAAATATTCCATTGTATGGATGTACCACGCTTTAATAGCCAAATTTATCACTTTTTAAAAAATGGTTCCTGAATTTTGATTAGGTAGAAAGACCTTCTGCATGCCAAGATTATGAAGAAATTCACCCATATTTTTCTTCTACGCAAATTCACTTGTGGCTTTTTCTTTTCATTTAAATTTTGACTCAGGACCTGGAATACGATACTGGTATACAATGTATGTTCATAGTTTTTTCTTTCTTATTACAATGAAATCATTTATTGAAAAGTCTTTTTCCTACAATTTGCGATATCACTTTTACTATGTACTAAGTTCCTATATTTAGGTTTATTTCTGGATTTACTATTTATGTTTATATTCCTTTTTTTTTAAAGATTTTATTTATTCATTTGAGAGAGAATGAGAGAGAGAGAGCACGAGAGGGGGAGGGTCAGAGGGAGAAGCAGACTCCCTGCTGAGCAGGGAGCCCAACACAGGACACAGGACTTGATCCCGGGACTCCAGTATCATGACCTGAGCCGAAGGCAGTTGCTTAACCAGCTGAGTCACCCAGCCGCCCCTATGTTTATATTCCTGTAGGTATTAGGATGTAGGTTAGGATCTACATTCCTGTACATATTTAGGTATATTTCTGGATTTCCATTCCTTATGTCCATTTATTTATTTACATGCTAGACATTCCACTTTTTAAAGTTTATTTATTTAAGCAATCTCTATCTTGAACTCACGACCCTGAGATCATTTCAATTTTAGTATATGTGCTGCCGAAGTGAGCACAACCTTGAGATCAGTAGCCAGCCAGGAGCCCCAAGCACTCTACTGTTTTAAATACTTAGGCTTTTTAGGAGTATGATTCCCATAACCCTTATCCATTGCTTCTCTCCCATACTATTTTCCTTGCTATCACTGTTTATTTTATTACATAAACTTTAGAATAGTTTTTGTCTGATTCCAGAAAAAAGAGAATGTTAATATTTTTATTGAATGTGCATCAAATTACTGTATTAATTTATGGAGAAACTGACACAATGTTCAATCTTTCCAATGAGAACATGTTGTCTTTTAAGCCTTTTTTATCTTTCAGTATTATTTTAAATTTTTTGACATTTGGGTTTGTTTATCCTAAGTATTTTATCTTTGGTTTGTAAATGTGGCTCACCCCCACTCCACACCCATTACATAGACTGTCTTCCTGGTATTGTTATACAAAGGCTAATAGTATTTGTACTACCATATTAAGCAGTAGTGGTAACAGTGTAATTTCTTGTCTTGTTCCTTTCTTTAGTGAGAAAGCCTATTATATCACCATGGGACATGACTTTAGGTTTTGAAATACACATACATATGCACATATATAAATGTATATAAGGAAATTAGTCATCAATTACTGTTTTATTGAATGCTATTTATACTGGGTTTTGAATTTTGTCAAATGCTTTTCATGAGGTAATCAGAATGACCACAGATTCTTCTTCTTAGGTTTATCAATAAAATAGATTATACTAATAGATTTCCTAATATGGACCATCTTTTTCTACCCTGAATAAACTCATGATGTATTATTCTGCTAATGTGCTGCTAGATTCCATTTGTTTAACAGAGTTTTGCTTCTGGAGTTGTACGACTGCATCTATACTTTTCTTCTTTTATGCAATCTTCATCAGGTTTTGATATCAATATTATACTCGTTTCATAAAAAATGCAGAAGTTTTCTTTTTTTTTTTTTTTTTAGACTTTATTCATTTAAGAGAGAGCACGAGAAGAGGGGAGAGGCAGAGGGAGAGGCAGACTCCCCCCCACTGAGCAGGGAGCCCGACCGACACAGGGCTTGATGAGCCACCAAGGCGCCCCTCAAATGTAGAAGTTTTCCATCTTTTTCTATGCCCTGAAACAGTTTCAACAGTAGAACTGAAATTATTCGTTCTTCAAAGATTTAGCAGAATTCTCTCATGAAACATCTGGGCCAGATGCTTTTTGGGGAGGAGTTGCTCCTCTGCTAATTTTCTCTATTTCTTCTACTGAAATTGATCTATTTGAATTTTCTTTATTCAAGGTCATTTTTTGTAAATTATATTTTCCTATGATAATCCTTCAATTTTTTTTACAGATTTTCTCATTTTTTAAGACTTGAACAACCAACACTCAGTAATCTTTAAATTTTTGCTATTTATGATTATTAGTCTTTATTTATTACATATATTTTTGTTTCCCCTACCCTCCTCTTTAATAATTGATTAGCTTAACTAGAGATTTGTCTATTTTCAAACAGCCAATTAGTTCTGCTTTGTTTTCTAATTCATTAATTTCTTTTACTTTTATTAATTCCTTTCTTCTACCTTCTTTTCATTTACTTAGATCTTTTTCTAACTTTTTGAGTTAACTGCTTAACCCACTCATTTTTATTATTTATTGGTATAAGTATTTAAAGCTTTGAATTTCCTCTGAGCACGGCTTTAGCTAGATTCCATATATTTCTAGTGTTCTAATCACTACAGTCATCTATATATTCTACAATTTTCATTTGTATTCTCCATTGATCCAAGAGTTGTTTAAACTTAATATGCAAGTGCATTGGGATTTTTCTATACTGTTTCTCCTTTCTAAAATGTATTGAAGTTTTCTTTGGGGGCTATGGAGAAGTCTCTGTAAATGAGATCTAAAAAGAAGGGGTACACTGTTTTCAGGGTCAAGTTCAATATATATTAATTAAATCTACCCTATTTGACTAAATTGTTTGGTCATCTACAGTCTTACTGTTTTTCCATTTAATCTTCCCTGGACCAAGGATACTGAATCAAAAGTCACTTACTACTAATGTATTTATGCCTATTTTTCCTGGTACCTCCTGAAAGTTGCTTTATGAAAGTTACTTTGTATTTAATATTGTTACTTGGTTGACAGATATTCATAATGTTAAATGTTTACTGTCAAATACACATTTTAACTTTGAATTCTTCTTCATCTTAAGTAAGGCTTTGGGCCCGAATTTCATTTTGTCTCATATTAAGACCAATACCCTA